ACTTTTAGAAGGAATATATGATAATAATAATAATAATAATAATAATAATTATTGGAATATAATTCACCTAAAGACAAAGAAATTATTAAAGTGAATAACCTTGTCAACATACTTTCAGAAATTTATTATTTATCAACTATGTTAGATCTTGTAGATAGAATGACCAAAACATAAAGTTATTAAAATATTCTAATTTGACACCGTGTAATGATGTCACACTGATAGTGCATTGTTGATGCTTCCTTTAGTGCATTACATTGGACTTATTTGACATTTATAAGTTTCTTAAATTGATGAATTAGTTGAGATTTATTTTAGTGAATTATTTTGGTTTCAATTTTAAATTATAGTTAACTTTCGTAATTTTTGTTAGCTTTGACATGTTATTTTGTGTAGGTCATATCTTGAGCTCTTAAACTCGAAATTTGACATTCTAGGTGTCCCTAAAAAGTTCGGACAAACCTGTATAACTTATTTGTTGAGAGTTCACCCAATTCGGATATCTTAGAGTCCAAAAATGTGCCACAATATTACACCTTTGCATTTTATTTTAGATTTACTTTAGGAACTTATTGTATTAGAAGTTTAACCTTATTAATTTGTTGATTAGTGGACCTGACCTTGTAAATATTCTAATTAAACTCAACCTAACCTTGTAAATATTCTAATTAAACTCACTATATTAGTGTTAGGCCTACTCGAAAACTGCACGGGTCGAAATAAGTATATAAGATTTCTCGAAAAATATATTAGGAAACCAACACCTGCCAATAACAGATGTTCGAGATCGAAGAAAATTATTTCGAGATTGAACAATGATGAGCTCGAGATTATGGTCATATTAAGGTAGTTATCAAGCCCAAGTCGAGAAGTCAATACACGTAGGAGAACGGTTATGAGAAGTTACAATTTAGAGCCACGTACAAGCATAGTGGATAGCGGTTATCCGATAATGACCTACATGCACGAAGTTAACCGTTGGTAATTGGCTCTATAAATTCAAAGGTCCTGCGTCTATACAGAGGTCAGAAATTTCATACTCACACTTCTGTAAGCACTCTCTGCCTGCGCATATGGCTTCCGTGCACGCATCTACTGGGTACCAATTTCTTGACTACATTTATTTTCTCTTTTTAGATTAGGATTAGTTTAGTCTCTTTTCTTCTTTATTCACGTAGTTTAAATTACTTAATAGTAGTTGTAACTTACGTAAACTTTGATGATGTTGTAATATTGGAACGTTAAAGAACCATGATCTGTATTGCAAATATATCTATTGTTCATTCTGTTCGTTTAATTATTTATGTGCATGAACGTTGCTTATTGGTAATCATTGATGAACATCTGGAAACTAGTAACTGTTAAAATCTTCTACTCTGTCTTTAGTGCTCCTTAAGATCATAAACGCATTAAAATACCTAAATTGAAACACTTTCCGTGTTAGTTCAAATAAAAAGGATCCATAAACTAATTCCACCGTAAACAATTAGTCAATTAATAAAAGTTGTAAGACTTGTTATATACACTTTCTTTACAAGTTTCTCTAAAATTTCTCTTTCTCTAGGATATAATAGGCACAAGTCCCCATGATACAACATGAGGACTTCACAAACTTCCATGTAAGTCCTAAGTCACATAAACTCCTAGGATACAATAGGATCTTCTTAGTAACTTTTACACAAGTCTCGAGTTGCACAAATTCACAAGATGCAATAGGATCTTCTCAGTACAAGACAAGATCTTCCTAGTAATTCCCACGCAAGCCTAAGTTACACAAATTCTTAAGATACCACATATCTTCTCAGTATAAGACTATAGATGTAGAATTAACAAGTTTCTAACCCATAAAAGAAAGAACTGATAAGGGAGTCATACTAAGTGCTAGAGATGTAGGGGAATATTGTTGTAATTATAATTAACAATGATAATTAAAATTAATTAATTTTAAAATATTTGATCATTAAAATTAATTAAAACTACAATAATCAAGTTATTATATCTTAGTAAAATTGATATTAGTTAGACTTTAATACCAGTAATTAATAAAATAATTATTTTAATTTTAAATTCATTTTAAATTTAAATTTAAAATAATTTCATGAATTAATTAACATTTTTAAATATCTCAAAATATACGATTGGAGAAACACAAGTAAACCTCACTCATGCTCATCCTTATTTTTGTTTGTTTGTAATTTTTTTTTTGCCTTTTTTTTGTTATCTCCTCTTTGTAAAAGAAAGAAAAAACTAAAATATTAGTTTTTTTTGAAAAATTGTAAATCGTAAAAAACTAAGCCAAATAAAAGCCGTCTAAAAAATTGTCCTTTTAAATAAATAAAACGAATTAAAAGCAGAGAATGTTAAAAAATAAATGGAGAATGCGTAAAAGTCAAAAGGGCCATAGCATGGACTTAGACTTGATTAAGCATCGACAGGAGTTATTGGATTTGCATAATATCGTGGCCTTCGTCTTGCCTCACATGCTTTCGGATAAAACACTTTGTATTTTTCTATTTAACAAATCACATCAAATTTTAACTTTACCCACAGCCAACTTATTCGATGTCCACTATGGAATGTTCCGGAACTTTTAAGAAATAGATATTTTAATGTACTATCGCTAGTTTCTAAATACAAGGCATTCCGTAATTATTTAAATATTTATTTTTTCTAAAACTTAAATGTGAGAAGAATCATGTAATACGTATCAATAATTTTGAATACATAATACTAGCAAATAATTTTTATTTGATTGATAATGTAGGTTTTTTTACACTAAGTTTACTAAACAAATAATATTTTTATAAAAGAGTATTACAAATCATTTTTAACTACAGTATTTTGAAAAAAAGAGAGACAGAAAATATGTCATTTTGTAACCACAACACAATTAAAATAGAAACTTTCTACATCTGCTCATGTAGAATCATTTCGTACTTCTAAAATTTTCTTCAAGCAAATTTATCTATTAAAAATCATTTTAAAGTTGAGATTTTCTTAGTCCAAATTTTTTCATCCTCCCACTCAACTAAATGCAGACATAGTTATTAAAAAATAATTTATAATAATAATAATAATAATGATCATATCACCATTAATGATCAATAAACATGGCACACTTTAATTCAAAGAAATTGAAAATGGATAAAAAGGGTTTATTTTTTTTAACCATAATGAATTTAAACTTAATTATAAAATAATTAAACTAATATGAATAATTTAATTTAAATATTTTTTAGGGTTTTCAAACCGGCTCTTATTAGTTTAAACTTTATAATACATGCAATGATCAGTTGAACGATACAAAGCCCGCTTAGTAGCCAAAGGATACACACAACTTGAGGGCCTTGAATTTCTTGACACGTTTTCACCGGTTGCTAAGTTAACTACAGTTCGCCTTCTTCTCTCATTAGCTGCAATTCATATCTGGTTTCTTAAACAATTGGACATCAACAATGCATTTTTGCATGGTGATCTCAATGAGGAAGTATATATGCATCTTCCTCCTGGTTTACCCTCCACTAAATCGGGACAAGTTTGCAGGCTAAATCGTTCCTTGTACGGGCTCAAACAGGCCAGCCGTCAGTGGTATGCCCGCCTCTCAACGTTTCTTTTGACTCATGGATATACACACTCTTTTGCAGATCATTCTTTGTTTTTGAAGTTTACAGATTCTACTAGTACAGCTCTCCTAGTTTATGTTGATGACATCGTTCTTGCTGGGAACAACCTCATTGAAATACAACGCATCACTACTCTTCTTGATCAAGCTTTTAGAATCAAAGATCTTGGAGATTTAACCTATTTTCTTGGTCTTGAGGTTGCTAGAAACAACACTGGTATTCATCTGAGTCAACGTAAATATACACTTGATATTCTTTCTGACACTGGCATGTTAGCTTGTTGCCCATCATCCACCCCAATGGATTATAAAACTGGTTTATCTGCTGATACTGGTACCCCTTTGACTGATCCCTCTTCTTATCGAAGGTTAATTGGGCGCTTGATTTATCTCACCAACACTCGGCCTGATATTGCTCACGCTGTCCACCATCTTAGTCAATTTGTTTCTCAGCCCACATCTTCTCATCAACAAGCTGTTTTTCGTATACTTCGATATTTGAAACAAGCCCCTGGACAAGGCATTTTTCTTGCTGCAGACAGCTCCCTTCAATTGAAAGCCTTCAGTGATTCTGACTGGGCGGGTTGCATAGACACTCGACGTTCTGTCACAGGTTTTTCCGTTTATATTGGACACTCACTCATTTCATGGAGATCAAAGAAACAACCCACTGTATCACGCAGTTCATCAGAAGCAGAATATCGAGCTCTTGCTTCCACCGCTTGTGAAATTCAATGGCTCACATATCTTTTAGAAGATTTTCGCATCTCCTTCACTCGACCTGCTCTCCTCTATTGTGACAACCAATCTGCTCTCCAAATCGCATCCAACCAGGTGTTTCATGAACGAACGAAACACATCGAAATAGACTGTCATCTCCTTCGAGAAAAAGTGACCAATGGTTTACTCAAACTGCTGCATGTGTCATCCTCCTCTCAACTGGCTGACATTTATACCAAAGCTCTATCTCCTTCTCGTTTTAAAGAGTTGTGTTCCAAGCTGGGAATGTCCAATATCTACTCCCAGCTTGAGGGGGGCTCTTAACAGCTGTACTCATACGTCTCTCATGACTCATGCACGTCTCTCATGCACGTCACGTTTTTCTTTTTCGTTCACGCCACTTTCTCATTTTGATTTTTCATTCCGTTATTTTCAGATTCTCTTTTGTACCTTTTCTCTTTCTACCTTTTTTGCTGCACCATTTGTACATATACCATCGTTTTCTCAGCAATAAGAAAATGAGCTGTTGTTGATCAATTTTTTCGCATCACCCTTCATTCTCCTTTTCTCCCTCATGCGGGATTTTATTATGGTATCAGAGCTCTTCCATTGAAGAGCTCTGCTGCGCATTCATCTTTTTTCTTTCCTTCCTATTACTATGGAGGACGAAACTCATTCAACACCCCCTTTTCACAGTTTCCTCTATCTTCATCCTGGCGAGAATCCTGCCACTGCGCTTGTATCACCTGTTCTTGATTCAGGCAATTATCATTCATGGAGTAGATCCATGCTTACTGCTCTTAGTGCCAAAAACAAGATGGAATTCGTGGACGGGAATGCTCCACAACCGCCTAAGTCTGATGTTACTTATTCTGCATGGCGTCAATGTAATAATATGGTTGTCTCTTGGCTTGTACATTCAGTTTCTCCTTCTATTCGTCAGAGTATACTTTGGATGGACAAAGCTGATGAGATTTGGAATGATCTTAAATCAAGGTACTCTCAAGGTGACCTCCTTCGTATTTCAGATTTGCAGTATGAAGCTTCTTCCCTTCAGCAGGGAGACCTTTCTGTCACTGAGTTCTTCACAAAACTTAGGATTATTTGGGACGAATTGGAAAATTTTAGGCCAGATCCTACATGTTCATGTACCCACAAATGTTCTTGCAATGTTTTACCCACCATTGCTCAAAGGAAGCGAGAAGATCAAGCCATGCAGTTCTTACGTGGATTAAATGAACAATATAGCAATGTTAGATCTCATGTTCTCCTCATGGACCCCATTCCTCCAATTTCTAAGATTTTCTCCTATGTTGCTCAACAGGAACGCCAGCTTTTGGGGTCTAATTTTGTTGCCAATACGGTTACAAAAACTGCTGCAATCAATGCAACTGCTTCATCTTTCACATGTACCCACTGTGGTAAATAAGGACACACGGAGAATCTATGCTATCGTAAACATGGTTTTCCTTCTAACCATGACGATAAAAGCAATCGTGGTGCCTCTAATCGGTCTGGTAAAATTTGTATTCATTGTGGGAGAAATGGACACACTATAGATGTTTGCTACCGTAAACACGGGTTTCCTCCAGGTTACAAATCCCCGACTGGCAAGACTTCCATTGTAAACAACACGGTGACTGATGAATGTAAGGCCAGTGATCAACAGCAAGCTATTCCAAACCAGGATTATCGCTTCACTCCTCAGCAGTATCAAATCTTGATGGGTTTAATACAACAGTCAACCAATAGCAGCTCAGCTTCTCCTTCTTCACATATAAATCATGTTGGTTCTGTTTCTTCATGTTCCACACAGCCCTCACCATCCCCAGGTAATTGTTTTTCCACCTCTGTCAGCACATACAATCTCACCTCTTGGGTCATTGACTCTGGAGCCACTGATCATATATCTTCTTCCCTTTCAAATTTCTTTTCGTATCGTTCCATTAATCCTATTGTCGTCAAGCTACCCACAGGTCAACAAGTACTCGCTACCCATTTCGGTCTAGTAAAGTTCACTGATACTTTCTACTTATCAGATGTGTTGTTTATACCAGATTTTAAATTCAATTTAATTTCCATTTCTAAGTTGGTTTCTTCTCTTGATGTGCAACTCATTTTTTGCTCCACGTCTTGTGTTATTCAGGATCTGAAAACCAACGAGAAGATTGGTACAGTTGATGTAAATGTTGGACTCTACACCATGACCATTGCTGCCATTCAACCCTCTATATGTTCTACTGTCTGCAATCCTGAATGTAGCATTCAATCCATTGATTTGTGGCATTTTCGCATGGGTCACTTGCCATATGAAAAATTACATTCTATGAAACAATATTACCCATGTCTATATAGTAACAAACACTTTACGTGTAACACCTGTCATTATGCTAAGCAAAAGAAACTCCCATTCCCTCTGAGTCATTCTCATACATCTAAATCTTTTGACTTACTTCACATTGATATCTGGGGACCTTGTTCAAAAATATCTTTACATGGACATCGTTATTTTCTTACCATAGTTGATGATCATACACGATTTACGTGGGTTTTTCTCATGAAAACTAAAGCAGAGGTGCGTAATTGTGTAACCAATTTCATTGCTTACGTTGAAAACCAATTTGAAACTCAAGTCAAAGTTATAAGAACTGATAATGGGGTTGAATTTTCCATGAATAAATATTTTGAATCCAAAGGAATTATTCACCAAACCACATGCATTGAAACTCCTGAGCAAAATGGAATTGTTGAACGTAAACATCAACACCTTTTAAACGTTACCCGTGCACTCCTTTTTCAATCTGCTCTTCCCCCTTCGTTTTGGTGTTTTGCACTCATGCATGCTACATACATCATCAACTGCCTTACCACGCCTTTCTTACAACATATTTCCCCTTTTGAAAAATTATATGGCAAACCATGCGACATTACCACTCTTCGTGTCTTTGGATGTCTTTGTTATGTTAGTACTATTAAAGCCCACCGTAAGAAATTGGATCCCAGGGCTCACCCTTGTGTTTTTCTTGGATTCAAACCCCACACCAAAGGCTATCTCACCTTCAATCTTCATACTCGTAACATTGAGGTTTCTCGAAATGTTATATTTTATGAAGACCATTTTCCTTATGTTGACCATACTGCTCAACCTACATCATTTACTCCATCTCTCCCTCTACCTTTCACAAATGACCACATTATTTCTGACTTCAATCTTCATAATCTTGCACCTTCCACTTCTCAGCCTTCTCCTTCTATTTCTTCACCCGAATCTGCTCATTCAACCCCTGCTCCTCGTCGGTCTACTCGTTCACATCATCCACCTTCCTATCTTCGAGATTTTCATGTGACACTTACATCAACTGGATCACCATCTTCTCCAGGTATTCGCTATCCCTTAGAGTCTTTCATTTCTTATGCTCACTTATCTTCATCTTTTCGTCATTTAATTTTATCTATTTCTACTACCACCGAGCCTAACTCCTTTGCTGAAGCTTCTAAGCATGACTGTTGGATTAAAGCTATGAAAGATGAGATCACTGCCCTAGAAGCCAATCATACCTGGACTATCACCTCTTTACCACCCAACAAAACAACAATTGGTTGCAAATGGATTTACAAGATAAAACACAATGCCGATGGATCAGTTGAACGATACAAGGCCCGCTTAGTAGCCAAAGGATACACATAACTTGAGGGCCATGACTTTCTTGACACGTTTTCACCGGTTGCTAAGTTAACTACAGTTCGCCTTCTTCTCTCATTAGCTGCAATTCATAACTGGTTTCTTAAACAATTGGACATCAACAATGCATTTTTGCATGGTGATCTCAATGAGGAAGTATACATGCATCTTCCTCCTGGTTTACCCTCCACTAAATCGGGACAAGTTTGCAGGCTAAATCGTTCCTTGTACGGGCTCAAACAGGCCAGCCGTCAGTGGTATGCCCGCCTCTCAACGTTTCTTTTGACTCATGGATATACACACTCTTCTGCAGATCATTCTTTGTTTTTGAAGTTTACAGATTCTACTAGTACAGCTCTCCTAGTTTATGTTGATGACATCGTTCTTGCTGGGAACAACCTCATTGAAATACAACGCATCACTACTCTTCTTGATCAAGCTTTTAGAATCAAAGATCTTGGAGATTTAACCTATTTTCTTGGTCTTGAGGTTGCTAGAAACAACACTGGTATTCATCTGAGTCAACGTAAATATACACTTGATATTCTTTCTCACACTGGCATGTTAGCTTGTTGCCCATCATCCACCCCAATGGATTATAAAACTGGTTTATCTGCTGATACTGGTACCCCTTTGACTGATCCCTCTTCTTATCGAAGGTTAATTGGGCGCTTGATTTATCTCACCAACACTCGGCATGATATTGCTCACGCTGTCCACCATCTTAGTCAATTTGTTTCTCAGCCCACATCTTCTCATCAACAAGCTGTTTTTCGTATACTTCGATATTTGAAACAAGCCCCTGGACAAGGCATTTTTCTTGCTGCAGACAGCTCCCTTCAATTGAAAGCCTTCAGTGATTCTGACTGGGCGGGTTGCATAGACACTCGACGTTCTGTCACAGGTTTTTCCGTTTATATTGGACACTCACTCATTTCATGGAGATCAAAGAAACAACCCACTGTATCACGCAGTTCATCAGAAGCAGAATATCGAGCTCTTGCTTCCACCGCTTGTGAAATTCAATGGCTCACATATCTTTTAGAAGATTTTCGCATCTCCTTCACTCGACCTGCTCTCCTCTATTGTGACAACCAATCTGCTCTCCAAATCGCATCCAACCAGGTGTTTCATGAACGAACGAAACACATCGAAATAGACTGTCATCTCCTTCGAGAAAAAGTGACCAATGGTTTACTCAAACTGCTGCCTGTGTCATCCTCCTCTCAACTGGCTGACATTTATACCAAAGCTCTATCTCCTTCTCGTTTTAAAGAGCTGTGTTCCAAGCTGGGAATGTCCAATATCTACTCCCAGCTTGAGGGGGGATCTTAACAGCTATACTCATACGTCTCTCATGACTCATGCACGTCTCTCATGCACGTCACGTTTTTCTTTTTCGTTCACGCCACTTTCTCATTTTGATTTTTCATTCCGTTATTTTCAGATTCTCTTTTGTACCTTTTCTCTTTCTACCTTTTTTGCTGCACCATTTGTACATATACCATCGTTTTCTCAGCAATAAGAAATTGAGCTGTTGTTGATCAATTTTTACGCATCACCCTTCATTCTCCTTTTCTCCCTCATGCGGGATTTTATTATGGTATCAGAGCTCTTCCATTGAAGAGCTCTGCTGCGCATTCATCTTTTTTCTTTCCTTCCTATTACTATGGAGGACGAAACTCATTCAACACCCCCTTTTCACAGTTTCCTCTATCTTCATCCTGGCGAGAATCCTGCCACTGCGCTTGTATCACCTGTTCTTGATTCAGGCAATTATCATTCATGGAGTAGATCCATGCTTACTGCTCTTAGTGCCAAAAACAAGATGGAATTCGTGGACGGGAATGCTCCACAACCGCCTAAGTCTGATGTTACTTATTCTGCATGGCGTCAATGTAATAATATGGTTGTCTCTTGGCTTGTACATTCAGTTTCTCCTTCTATTCGTCAGAGTATACTTTGGATGGACAAAGCTGATGAGATTTGGAATGATCTTAAATCAAGGTACTCTCAAGGTGACCTCCTTCGTATTTCAGATTTGCAGTATGAAGCTTCTTCCCTTCAGCAGGGAGACCTTTCTGTCACTGAGTTCTTCACAAAACTTAGGATTATTTGGGACGAATTGGAAAATTTTAGGCCAGATCCTACATGTTCATGTACCCACAAATGTTCTTGCAATGTTTTACCCACCATTGCTCAAAGGAAGCGAGAAGATCAAGCTATGCAGTTCTTACGTGGATTAAATGAACAATATAGCAATGTTAGATCTCATGTTCTCCTCATGGACCCCATTCCTCCAATTTCTAAGATTTTCTCCTATGTTGCTCAACAGGAACGCCAGCTTTTGGGGTCTAATTTTGTTGCCAATACGGTTACAAAAACTGCTGCAATCAATGCAACTGCTTCATCTTTCACATGTACCCACTGTGGTAAATCAGGACACACGGAGAATCTATGCTATCGTAAACATGGTTTTCCTTCTAACCATGACGATAAAAGCAATCGTGGTGCCTCTAATCGGTCTGGTAAAATTTGTATTCATTGTGGGAGAAATGGACACACTATAGATGTTTGCTACCGTAAACACGGGTTTCCTCCAGGTTACAAATCCCCGACTGGCAAGACTTCCATTGTAAACAACACGGTGACTGATGAATGTAAGGCCAGTGATCAACAGCAAGCTATTCCAAACCAGGATTATCGCTTCACTCCTCAGCAGTATCAAATCTTGATGGGTTTAATACAACAGTCAACCAATAGCAGCTCAGCTTCTCCTTCTTCACATATAAATCATGTTGGTTCTGTTTCTTCATGTTCCACACAGCCCTCACCATCCCCAGGTAATTGTTTTTCCACCTCTGTCAGCACATACAATCTCACCTCTTGGGTCATTGACTCTGGAGCCACTGATCATATATCTTCTTCCCTTTCAAATTTCTTTTCGTATCGTTCCATTAATCCTATTGTCGTCAAGCTACCCACAGGTCAACAAGTACTCGCTACCCATTTCGGTCTAGTAAAGTTCACTGATACTTTCTACTTATCAGATGTGTTGTTTATACCAGATTTTAAATTCAATTTAATTTCCATTTCTAAGTTGGTTTCTTCTCTTGATGTGCAACTCATTTTTTGCTCCACGTCTTGTGTTATTCAGGATCTGAAAACCAACGAGAAGATTGGTACAGTTGATGTAAATGTTGGACTCTACACCATGACCATTGCTGCCATTCAACCCTCTATATGTTCTACTGTCTGCAATCCTGAATGTAGCATTCAATCCATTGATTTGTGGCATTTTCGCATGGGTCACTTGCCATATGAAAAATTACATTCTATGAAACAGTATTACCCATCAATATGTCACCTCTTGCTTTCCTAGGCATGATTCCATCAATAAACCTAAAGCATTTTATTCTAACGCAAAACTTTGGGCAAGCTTTTGAATGTTTTAACTGAAGGACACATAATCTGACATAATTTCATTCATTTATTTATTCTATATATTTTTATATAAGTTATATGCATTGAAAAAAATATTATATGTATGTTATTTTAAACATTTATAAAAATTATTTTTTTAAAAAAAATTACTCTTAATCTCTATTAAATTACTCTGAACAATTTCATACTTTCTAATAATAATTTTTATAACTTACCCCTTTTAATCACAGTGATGACAATTCCTGTAAAAAAGTAATAGTGATTATGGCTATACTAAGGTTTTTCTACAAAATGAAAAAACGCAAAGCACTGATGTTTTGGGGGGAAAAAAGAGATTATTAATGTGGTAAGTAAAATTAATGGGATATTACTGATAAAAAAGTAATGGGATATTTGAAAAATCTTAAAGTCGAAAGAGAAAATAATGGATTCCGATTCCTTAAGTCTTTGAAAAGGATATTTTTAAAAGAATAATCTTTAATAAATGTTAAATTGTCAATTAATCTTAAGTTTTTTGGATTTATATTAATTAATTATAAGTGACGTACTAAATAGGAACAGGGGAACTATTTATTTTTTGGAACTATCTTTTGACTAAGAACTTGTAGGTTTTTTCTTTAGGCATGGGTGGAAATATAGAAAAGCTAGGACACAGTCCATGATGCTGTCTTGCTCGAAAATAACCACGGAAGACGTATGATTAATATTTATTCTCTGTATTCATAATTATTGTCATTTTTAATAATAATAAGTACTTTTATTTCTAAAATAATTTGATCTCTGCCTCTTTTTATATAGAAAAAGAGACATGCATGTATAGAGACACGAATATGTATGCTGGGTAAATTTCATTTTAAAGAACAATTTATGTTTATAAATAACAACAATAACAAAGGCTAAAAGGTCCTTATTTAATTTTCATTCCTCACTATCAGATTTGTACACTAAACTTCAGATATACATTCTCAGTGATTTCTACTTCCACCTCAGTTACAGTTGAACCAAAGTATCTGTCTCAGCAATGTGAATGAATACCATTCCTCGGCGAAATTCTTGTGCATATATAATATTGTGTACAAACACGCATCCAGGTTAAAATTATTTTAAAACTCATAAAACTATATAAAACCATTAATTTAAAAGAAAGAAGTGACTAGGGAAAAAATGGTAAATAGATAGTCAAACTCTTTGATTTGTCGAGTCTTGAATTAACTTCACCGAATAATGTGTTCAAAAATTGTGTTGATGATGACTTCTTCCCTAAGAAGACTTCTCATATTGCCGTGAGGGATTTTCACCATTCATTCTATTTCACTCCCTCTCAAGTCTCACCCTTTTCATCCTTAAAAAAATAAAGATAATGCAAGAATTTCTCTTATTAGAGAGCTCAAAAGCATGTTAACATTTACTATTGGTATTAAAGTAAACAACCGACTAACTACACAGTAGAAACAGACCCAAGAAGTGAAACACTTTTTAGACAATTGTTTTATGTATTACAAACCAAGCGAGAAGTGTTAACCAAGCTGATTGATAAGAAAATCAATCTCTTCTCTTTTTCTTCTTCTCACTCCTCTCAGCTGAGTTCTTCAACTGAAAAATAATAGTAAAAAATCCCATCAATACAAATTTCCGAGGCAAAGAAAAATAAGGTAGAAAGAATCTTTAAAAGGTTGCTAAACGATCAAACTCACCATAATAACAAGAATCCGGACAAAAACTGCAATCAAATCAGTAAACAAGGTAAGGGCATGCTTTACATAGTCCAGGTCTCCGAAGTGTGCCCTCTCAACTATTTCTTGGGTGTCTACTACAATGTAACCCACGAACACCAAAAGCCCAAAATACAACTGCAACAGTATGAAATAACCCATGTAAGAAATCTTGCACTTTAAGACTCAATACTTTTAAAGCTTCAGACCAACCCAACCTAATTTCACAAAAAGGGAACAACATATAACGGCCACGTACCTCAAACTTAAAGAGAGCAGTTGATCCTCCAAAAATGGAAGAAGCAAAGTGCAACCAGAGGAGGATAGACAACCCCGAAGAAACCAAGCCACCAAGGTACAAGTACTCCCTACGCCTTGCAACCAAAGCTGCTCCTGAGAAACATGCGAAGGCCAAGGACGTTCCCACAAATGTACTAAAGATAAGGCTGGAAAAACGAAAGAACAATGTCATAAATTTATCCAAAACTAAGAAAATAACACCAAAGTCAGTAGTCAATTGTCACACATCATTAATTAGAAAGAGAAAATGGTTTAATAATTTAATTCCAAACAAGGGTCACCCGACAAATTGAATTTTTTTTTCCTTCACAAGAATTACAATGAGGACCCCCTCTTATAATCTAGGACCGGCTATGCATAACACCCCAATCTCCTACCGCTACCGCCACATTGAAATTGAATGCATGATAATGATATGAGTCCTGGGAAAATCCATTCATGACAACACCACACAACACATACCTTGGATCGATTTTAACAGCCAAATCAATCAAGGGTCCAATAGAGGCACCCTGAAAGAGTGAAGAGAGCATCAACAAAGTCACCCTCTTCCTCTGCATGTCATAAGAAAAAGAAAACACGGATGAGTAACAACCACGAAACCAAGAAACCAAACACATGGAAGAAAAACGACACATACCTCTTCAAAAGGAGGCGTGGAGAGTAACCAAAGACTGGTTCCCACACACGCCACCGTCGTAAGAAAACCCCCAATGTTGAAAAGGACATGAAGGTAGGCCCCGACAGCCGCAGCAAGCACAGCGAAAGACAGAGTGAAATAAACCTGAAACCCAAATACAGCCAACATCCAACGATTCTGAAAACCTAATTTTTGAAAACCCTAAGATGGGAGAAATTGAGATTATTGTTAAAGACGAAAGGGGAAAACCTGCTTGAGGTGATTCTGAACGAGGGGGGAAATCTGACGGAAGTTCTTGAGAGTGTCGTAATTCCATCGGTTTCTTGAATCGAAGAAGGAATTGAAGGCGTCCATGGCTTTGGAAATGCGTTTCAATTTTCAACACCGCAATTATATTTAATATTTGAAGGACGGAGCCTGGTTTCGCAGAACCTTCCACTTACACTTACCAACACATTATTTTCTTTTCGTTTAAGTCTTCTATCCTATGGATGCCGTTGCATTTTGGGTATTTTTCTTAAGCCATCATTAGCCCACGTAATGCAACCAATCACAAACAAACACATCACATTAATAATAAATGTTTCATATTTTAAATTAGATTTATATCTTTCAACCAACATTATCATTTTCATATTTTTTTTCAATATTTTATAATCTCTTATCTGTTTAAGTTATTTTTATTTTTCTAAAATATCATTAGTTAAAAAAATTATATTAAAATATAAATTATTTATTATAAATTAAAAATATAATTTATATGATCAAATTAAATATTTGTTACAAATTTTAATCAAAGTATAATAAAAAATATTTATTTATTATAAATTTTAGTTATAATTTTTCCTATGCGTAATTAAAGAGTTTAATAATTATACATTATTAATTTAATAAAAAAATTATTATTGATATAATTTATCTAAGAAAATTATTATAAAAATTAATAAATTATCATGAATAATGGTCTGTGATTAAATTAAAATACAAGTACATAACTAAAATGCTGGTTATGACGAAGAAGTTATAATAATGGGGAAGCAAAAACATAATGGGGACCATTTGATCATTTGATGATCAACAAAGATAGCAGTTTTGTAATTCAAATAAAATTCCCATATTCCACATTGATGAATAAAAAATTATTATAAAAAACACGAGCAATTTAAAAAGTCTAAATAAACATTTATCTTAAGAAATTGAACGATCCACCTTGTCAACCTAAATACTATAAAAGACATTGTTAAATAGTGCAAAATTAGTTTCATGATGTTGTTATATGTGATACGCATCTTATGATGTTCAGTATTAAATTAAATCAATTTTTCTCTTTAATTAATTATCCAATTAACCCAGATTTGTAATATTTTATATTTACATTTAAAATTATATTTTTTTATTACTAGTAAAATAAATTTACTTTAAATGTATTTTTAAAGTTGTATTCCTTATATTTCACAGATATTCTAAAACTCATAAAATTCAGGAAATACTTGCTAGTAATACTTGTTGGTAAAATAGTAATGGAAAAATAAATTAGATGCCAGAAACACATTATCTCTTTATGAGTATAGCTATTTGGATTAGTTAGACTTCTAAATGCCGATTGTTTAAGATTAAGAAAACTACCATCAACTAACATTGATTATTTTGTATGTTTTATAAAATTGTTCAGAGTTTAAATCTTAGTCTTAAATATAAAATAGATTATGTTGTGAGTTAAATACTTATTTTATGTGCGTTATGCAATAGATATTTTAAACTAACATTATGATTAAAAAAAGAAGAAGAGAAAACTAACAGGAATCACGTTAAAAGTATGAACCACCGGTTCATCACATACAAGACGAGTGCACTTTTTCGCCAAGAATTCAAGGCTCTTCCATCGTTATAGTTCAACGCGGTGTCAATAGTGTTCCCAAAATGGCTCAACCAAGGCACTTAGTCAGCCCCATTGGGCTTTGTCCCAAGATTTGGTCTATGGACAGTTATTGTCGAGCTCCTTGGCCCATTCTCCCTAAAGATGTGGGCTACCTCTCTTGCTACGGTAGCTTAGCCCGTTTCTTAGGCAGATCGAGGCCCACTATTGTATGTGGTCCTAGATTGTTGTGAGATCATGCAACCAACCACGATAAGGCTCATGATATATACACCTCCTTTTCTTTATAAGTACACCTTCTTTATTTTTTTAAAAAAATTATAAAAAATTATAATTTTTTTTGTTTTTAAAATTTTACACCTTTAACTTTTAATTTTTTACTTTCTTCTTCTTTTTCACACTTTTTTTTTTCTTTTAGTTTTAACATGCTACCAAAATAGGTGGGGTAAAGGAAAGGTAAAGAAGGTGCATGTAAAAACTAGAAAAAAAGAAGAAGAAATGATGTATGAAAAGAAATAGTAAATTAAATATTGTAGATATAAAATTAAAATTTTTAAAAAAATAAATAAATAAAAATATTTTAAAATTTTAATTATTTTTTAAAAAAAGAGGTGTACTTATAAAAAAAGAAAAGAAAAAAAAGAGGTGTATATATCATGAACCCCACGATAATTGGCTGAAATGCTCCTTGGATTAGAGTGAACACACAGAATTGGATTTCAACAATAACGATTCAATCTCTTCAGAAGCGATAATTAAACTTTGTTTTTCCCTTGTTTGTTGTTGGGCTAAGCGAGCCGTATAGGTCAATCATCAGGAAATATTAAATATTATAAATTGCATAATAATTTTTTGTGCAATTGTATTAGTATTACTAAGATTTAGGGACGTGTTATAAAAGAATAATTGTAAATAACTACCAAACAGTTCCATTCTTCTTAAATATTTTATGCTCGTGAATGTATGATGTGCATTAAGAAAATAATTTACTATCTATTACCACACCAGAGAATAGTGCGCTAAGACTAAGAGGAATATTGGAAAAAATCTCATTCAAAAGAATATAAACTTTACACGTATACGGAGAGTCTGCATGCAAATGTTTGGAATAGTCTAATCATTCTGTAGACGGTGAAGAGAATAGAAGTTTCAAAAGAAAGCCAAGTAAAACTCCAAGGACACCCACAAAAATGGCAAAGGTGAAGGAAAAGCCAGGATCACTTCGTCGGTTTCTTCGTCTTTTCAGCATGTCCTACACATTCAAGAGAGCCCATGGATTAGTCATATTTACAATAGCTCTCTAGTCCCAATAATGAATACAACAGATAATAACTATTGTTTTGTAGATTCAAGTGTTGCACTGCACCCAAAAAGAAAGAAAGCTTCAGTGCTTTACTAACCACATTTTGCTCTTATCCATCTCATGTCCGTTTTTACATGCCTCATGGCCAATTTTAGTACAGAGAATATGGTTATCTTGAATAACAATGATATTTAAATAAAAAGAATAATAAAAAAAGGTTCGGGGGAAAGTAGGAAATTAGAATAGAATGAAAGAAAGTTATCATATTATGTCAAAAATAATTATAGAACTATGGAATTACATAGCATAACAAAATAAAAATGGTATATGTTTGAGTCGGTTTGGGCTCCATGTGTCCAGACCCCCAAATCCATATCATCAAATTTGCAATTTTAAAATCCAAACTAAACAAATGATCTAAACCGATTCAGGTTGTCGGGTTGACCTGGACTCATGACCCCCACCCCATTTGGAATAACTTCAAATAAAATCTTAACCAAATTGTTATGATAAAAGTGTGAACATGAAGAAACAGAACCAACATGATTTATATGTGAAGAAGGAGAAGTTGAGTTGCTATTGGTTGACTGTTGTATTAAACCCATCAAGATTTGATACTGCTAAGGAGTGAAGCGATAATCCTGATTTGGAATAGCTTGCTGTTGCTCACTGGCCTTACATTCATCAGTCACCGTGTTGTTTACAATGGAAGTCTTGCCAGTCGGGGATTTGTAACCTGGAGGAAACCCGTGTTTACGGTAGCAAACATCTATAGTGTGTCCATTTCTCCCACAATGAATACAAATTTTACCAGACCGATTAGAGGCACCACGATTGCTTTTATTGTCATGGTTAGAGAGAAAACCATGTTTACGATAGCATAGATTCTCCGTGTGTCCTGATTTACCACAGTGGGTACATGTGAAAGATGAAGCAGTTGCATTGATTGCAGTAGTTTTTGTAACCGTATTGGCAACAAAATTAGACCCCAAAAGCTGGCGTTCCTGTTGAGCAACATAGGAGAAAATCTTAGAAATTGGAGGAATGGGGTCCATGAGGAGAACATGAGATCTAACATTGCTATATTGTTCATTTAATCCACGTAAGAACTACATGGCTTGATCTTCTCGCTTCCTTTGAGCAATGGTGGGTAAAACATTGCAAGAACATTTGTGGGTACATGAACATGTAGGATCTGGCCTAAAATTTTCCAATTCGTCCCAAATAATCCTAAGTTTTGTGAAGAACTCAGTGACAGAAAGGTCTCCCTGCTGAAGGGAAGAAGCTTCATACTGCAAATCTGAAATACGAAGGAGGTCACCTTGAGAGTACCTTGATTTAAGATCATTCCAAATCTCATCAGCTTTGTCCATCCAAAGTATACTCTGACGAATAGAAGGAGAAACTGAATGTACAAGCCAAGAGACAACCATATTATTACATCGACGCCATGCGGAATAAGTAACATCAGACTTAGGCGGTTGTGGAGCATTCCCGTCCACGAATTCCATCTTGTTTTTGGCACTAAGAGCAGTAAGCATGGATCTACTCCATGAATGATAATTGCCTGAATCAAGAACAGGTGATACAAGCGCAGTGGCAGGATTCTCGCCAGGATGAAGATAGAGGAAACTGTGAAAAGGGGGTGTTGAATGAGTTTCGTCCTCCATAGTAATAGGAAGGAAAGAAAAAAGATGAATGCGCAGCAGAGCTTTTCAATGGAAGAGCTCTGATACCATAATAAAATCCCGCATGAGGGAGAAAAGGAGAATGAAGGGTGATGTGAAAAAATTGATCAACAACAGCTCAATCTCTTATTGCTGAGAAAACGATGGTATATGTACAAAATGATGCAACAAAAAGGTAGAAAGAGAAAAGGTACAAAAGAGAATCTGAAAATAACGGAATGAAAAATCAAAATGAGAAAGTAGCGTGAACGAAAAAGAAAAACGTGACGTGCATGAGTCATGAGAGACGTATGAGTACAGCTGTTAAGAATAATCATTAATTATATATATGTTAAGCAGAGTTTAGTTTTTTTAACCATGAGTTCATATTTAAGCATTATAATGAAAAAAGTATCTCAAAAAAATAGCAAGCCAAATTTTATTATAGAATTTAAATAAATTTAAATACGTCTTTAATCATTTATAAAATGAACAAGTTTTTATTTGATACATATAAAAAAAAAAATTCTTTATTTTTCATCCCTTTTGAACATACCAAACGCAACATTAATTATTGAAGAAGCTGATAAATATTTTATGCGTATAACAAAATAAAAATCATTAAAAAATGTACAGACAAACCAACCCACCTTAAAACATTTATAAAAGAGATGAATAAATTGGGTGATTCAGAGTATTTAAGCTTGTCATTAAAAGTTCATGAACAAAACATGCTAATTTTATATAAAATAAGAAATGTATTTCGAAAATTGCAAATTTATTGTAAAATTAACCTTACATCATTTTAATATTTAAATGTTCCTTCTTTTTTTTTTCTTCTCTTTTTCGTCTTATTTTTTTTTGGAATAGCTTGCTGTTGATCACTGGCCTTACATTCATCAGTCACCGTGTTGTTTACAATGGAAGTCTTGCCAGTCGGGGATTTGTAACCTGGAGGAAACCCGTGTTTACGGTAGCAAACATCTATAGTGTGTCCATTTCTCCCACAATGAATACAAATTTTACCAGACCGATTAGAGGCACCACGATTGCTTTTATTGTCATGGTTAGAGGGAAAACCATGTTTACGATAGCATAGATTCTCCGTGTGTCCTGATTTACCACAGTGGGTACATGTGAAAGATGAAGCAGTTGCATTGATTGCAGTAGTTTTTGTAACCGTATTGGCAACAAAATTAGACCCCAAAAGCTGGCGTTCCTGTTGAGCAACATAGGAGAAAATCTTAGAAATTGGAGGAATGGGGTCCATGAGGAGAACATGAGATCTAACATTGCTATATTGTTCATTTAATCCACGTAAGAACTACATGGCTTGATCTTCTCGCTTCCTTTGAGCAATGGTGGGTAAAACATTGCAAGAACATTTGTGGGTACATGAACATGTAGGATCTGGCCTAAAATTTTCCAATTCGTCCCAAATAATCCTAAAGTTTTGTGAAGAACTCAGTGACAGAAAGGTCTCCCTGCTGAAGGGAAGAAGCTTCATACTGCAAATCTGAAATACGAAGGAGGTCACCTTGAGAGTACCTTGATTTAAGATCATTCCAAATCTCATCAGTTTTGTCCATCCAAAGTATACTCTGACGAATAGAAGGAGAAACTGAATGTACAAGCCAAGAGATCGACATCAGTATTTGCAGTGACTATTGTACTCTGTAAGAGAAACTTGTCTTTACATTGCATGTCTTGAGGGTATTCACGTTGAGCTTGGAGGGTGACTGAAGAATATAAAAATTGGATGTTATATCAGATGCTAATAGCATAGAATCGGAAGAATAACAGGCTCCTAAGCAAACAGTACTAATAATAATAGCATAATGAAAGAAGTAAAAATGGTAAGAAGGTGACCTCTGATGATACAAGAGTCCCAGGGATGTACAACGCCGGAGTTTGGGCGTACGAAGTATTTCTTTGGAGAAGTGGTTTTGACCTTGAAAGCAACATGGTTCTCAGAGTTATTGAGGACCTTAAGATCGCAAAATGTTTGCTTGTCCAACTCAACTGGAGACAGGAAAATGATGAGAATGGAAATGCAGAATGAATGAAAAGAAAAAGGAAAAGGAAAAGGAAAAGAAAGAAGCGATTGATTACGTACAATGGAAGCGGAGTTCGTCGGGACTAACGGAAATGAGTTGAGAGGCAGACATGGTGCGAAGTGGGGGAATGGGGAATGGAATTAGAGTGACATCAAGAAAAGAAAGAAATGTGTGGTGGAACGACGAGCATGGGGCACCCAATCATAGCTACAAAGTCCAAACACAAATCATGCTAATTTTTCGCCATCCACTTCGCTTTTCGTCTTAAAACTCCTCCCAACTATCTCTGATTTTGCCAGAGGCACACACAAACTCAAACTACTCTCTCATGGGGCCACCTCGTACCTCTACACACGTGTTCTTTTTATTATTAAATATTTTGTTTATTATATACTCATATACTATATATTAAATTATTAAAAATAGTATGAAGCTGTTGGGGGAAAAAGCTAAAAGAAAAATATATGTTTTTTTTTGTTCGTCCTGGAGTATCCCGGCTGCATACACAAAACAAGATTTGAACCTCTGGCCTTGCTTAAACGTGGATCAATCCCTACCACTGAACCACACGCGTGGAATTATATATGTTTAATATATTTGAGAGTAATTTGAGAATAATGTTTTAGAGGAAAAAAATTAATAAAAATAATCATAAATTTTAAATTTTCAAATACATGAAAAATACTTATTTAAGAATTACAAATTTTAACTGATATTTGAAATGTAGTAAAATAATAAAAATTGAAAGAAATCAATGTGCTGATCACTTGATCAGTTGATCATGGTTGATGCCATGGGACTTCCTTTCATGAGATCATAATTTTTCATTTTTTTTAGCACATGTTAAAAAGAACTAAAAAATAACTGAAACAGAATCTAATAATTTTAGATTCTCCAAAATACGTTATAAGATCTCATTTTTCTCATTGTCTTAATCAGACTTTTTCATTCTTTCTCTTCTCTCTTTTATAAGTACATTGCATGCATTACATCTCTTTTATAAGTACATTGCATGCATTACCCTGTAAGGTTATAAATAACAAAAAAAAATGTTTAATCCATATCATACACCTTATTTTTACATTTGATTTTAGAGTTAATCACGTTAATCACCTATACACTGCCAGTGTAAAGTTTTTTTACATTGACAACCAATTATATTCTTTAATTGTACCATATCACTGTAAACACATTTATTTTTAACACATTTATTTTTAACAGTGACATGACACAATTAAAGAATATAATTGGTTGCCAGTGTAAAGCTTATAAAAAAGCTGACAGTCTATAAGTGATTAACTCTTAATTTTATTAGTTGTCTATCAGTTCAATTTTATAAAAATATCATAATTTAAGTTATTGTTTATAATTTTAAAATATACTTTATATACTAGAAATAATTATTCATAATAAAATTTACTTGTAATATAATTTATATATTCAAATATATATTTATTTTGAATTTAGTTATCTAATAATAAATATTTATTATGTGTAAAATACACACTTAAATACTAATTTTGGATGGGAAGACCTCCTTGTCACAAATTAAACTATAGAAATTTAGAACATGGTTATTACATTGTGTGCTTTTAGATTTTAAACCATAAGGATTAAAATCCTCCAATTTAATAAACTTAAGTAATGTTTTCTTCAAAGCTTCGCTTTCTACTGTAAACTATAGTGATGCAGAAGAAACAATTCAAATTTCTCAATACTATCAAGGTTCAGTACACTTTCAGGGAAGATACATAAGGGGAAGAAAAATGATATATTCTACAACAGAACAAATTGAAATGATAAAATCAAAGCCCCGCAGCACTCATCATGGATCAGCATGCTACATCGAAGATGAACGTGAGGAAAAGTGGGCATCCGAGTTATCATTTGAAAGTGGATAATCTCGGAAGTTTGTCTCTCAGATAGTACAATCTTGCCCTTCTTACCTTACGGTGGCTTACCACTTTGATTTCTTTGATGTTTGGTGAGTAACTGTTCCAGTAAATATAAGAAACATATAAGACACTATCTCAAGAAAAATCTGATAAAGACTACAAATGAAAAACTAGTGTGCTTTTAACTAGTAAGCATCATTTGGTAACTTAATAAAGTGAACCGTTTGGGTAAATTGCTTGAATAAATAAATTCAGATCCTCAAAACGATAACTTAATAAACTCTTACAAATTACATTACAGCATAGACTGAAGTGAAGACAAAAATTATGCAATGTATAGGTGCATTGCATTCGTTCATCAGGAACCAACAGGAATGTAAGTCACATATCGAAACAGATATGAATATCTCATTCCCCCAGGAAGTTGACATCGCTAAACTTCAATTTCGGGCTGATATCCTTTTCCAATTGCCATTTCCCTATTAGGATTATTATTCCCTGAATCCCGTATATCCAGGGAAGATGGTAAATCACACACAAAAAGGGATTGATCTTCTTACAAGTTATAACCCTCCAGAACCCAATTTCTGACAATCATTTGAGTTGAACAAAGCCTTTCCAGAACAAGGTTACCTTCAGCTATTATTGTCAGTGCCACTCAACCCATAACAATTTGTACTTTCAAAAGGTGCAAAGTTGCAGATTTTAAACGCACCGTAAACAACATAATGCAGGCATTGGTGTAGTAATCTAAATCTTGGAAAATGATAACATATGACTACTCCGTTTTTCACATCTCAAGCGAAAATGTTAAATGAAATATTCGTCATAATATAAATTTCCTCTTTCAGTTTGAAAAATATCTACATAATTATGCCCCCTAGTCACAAAGCAATGCATCCAAATAAAACATCAAAGTGCAAATGAGATTACGTTACTAGTCTACAAATACACAGTTCAGGTAAGGATGAAACTCACATTGGGAAGACAATCTCAACCCCAGTGCCGGCAATGATTCTTCGGATTCGAATAGTTGTGTGAATACCAGCATTTTGTTTTGAGATAACAATCCCTTTATAAATGGACAACCTACGCTTGTTCTCAGGAACCTCCTGTAAGAAGCACAAAAAAAGATCATCGTAACATTAGCACTCTTCTTAAAATAAATACAGAAACATACATTTCAATTAATAAAATAAATACCAATTTGATTTCCACAATATCCCCAGTCCTAATGTCTGGAGTTGGCCTCTCCTTCTCCGATGCCTCAATTGCCCTCTGATTCAATATCTGCATCAACAGCATCACGCATTTTACGCTTCTTACACTCTCACATACAAACAAACACGCATTATAGAAAGGGTGCAGTGTGGAAACCTAATTGCTAAATAAAAACATTCAAGCTTATTTTTATGCTTCCTCTTATTACCCCCATAACGTCTCCGAGCTTGACACGGGGTTTTCTGGGCAATTCCGGGGGTTCAGAATCCGAAACTTGTTCCGCTTCGGCTTCGGCTTCGGCTTCGGGAACAGCTTCGGCGGCTTCAGCACCGCCTTCGAGGTTGGAGTCAGCTCTCGCAACGAATCTCGGCTTGGCAATAAGGGGAGCGCAACGCCGTGAAATTGCGGTGGAAGGAACCCTAGAAATTAACGCCACGTTACGAGGGGAAGAGGAAGAAGAGGGAAAACTCAGCTTGGGAGCAAACAGTGGCTGCTGCAATGCAATTTCCGAGGAAGAAGAGGGAAAGGAATTAACGAAAAATAATGTTCGAGCTTTGACACTTGATGAAGAGATAAGAGTTAAACCTGAAGAAGAACTTGGGAAGCCATGGAAGAGAGAGAATAGGGACTCCACTTCACTTCAGTGGGTGCGACACATGGAAATTCGGAACACCGGAAATGTAACGAGAACCCCCTTATCTGTTTCTATCCCTTCCACACGTGTAAAGTGTAAACTACACTTCTCTTTTTTTTTTCTTTCATTTTTTGGGTTGGGCCTGCAAAAATGTGTGGCCCAAATTCATCCCTAAGAGGTAAGACCCATATCCATTGTTGGGTCAAGTCATGTTCTGTCCATTTGCTCAATATCAAAATCGGTTGCTATTGCTAAGAGTCAATTAAAAAAAAAAGAATAAGAGAGGATAAAATACGCACCTTTTGTGTTTATAATTTTACTTACTTTATATTTTAATTTTTATGCTTTTTTTTATTAATTTTAGTTTTTATAGTTTAAAATAATTTTTTTAATCATATACTTGTAGTTTATTAATTTTTTTAGTCTGTTAATATTTTTTTTTGTAACATTATCTCTTTTATATTAACATAATAAATATATTAATTTAATTTTATGTTAAATTTATTATGTTGGAGTTATTATAAATTAGGTATTTTGGGTTTCTTTTTATCTTTTTTACCTTCATTTACAATCCTCATTATTAAGACACTTTTTTACTCTCGTAAAATTAAATACATCTATTATGTCAATACAAAATTCAACATCACAAAAAAATTAATAAAGACAAAAATATTAAAAAATTGTAAGTATAAAACTAGAAATTTATCTTAAACTATAAAAATTATAAAAATTAAAAATAAAATAAGTAAAACTATAAAAATTAAATAAAATATTTAAACCCTAATATAATGTTGCGATCATATGATAAAATTGTGATCATGTGGAATACTAGACGACCTTGAAATTTAGGGGATGGTTTTACTTGAATTGTTTTTTGATGAGTAACCTCTTGGTACTTGTGTTATGTTAAAAAAAGGTTAATAGTTGATACATGATATAGGTGCATGAAAAGAGAATATAGGACGTATGAATGATTGCATGAAATATTGGGGCATTTGTGTGTGAGTGAAAGAAGGTTGATTAGAAATAGAAAAATTGTTATCTTGACTGGTCTGGTCCTATATATTGAATGACGAGGCAGGTGGTTCCTCTTCCTCCTTCTTCCATTCTCCAAGCATGGCACTCACGCGTGTGGTAGCCATTTCCTTGGTTCTGGTGGCTATATCCACGGCACAAGCCCCCTCTCCATCACCATCACCATCACCATCACCATCACCATCACCCACTCCATCTCCCTCACCGGCCTCTGTCTCTGACAATCCCATCAATTCAAATCCCAGCAACGCGTTTCTTCATGGAACCACCTTCTCCATCCTATTCCTACCGTTCTTTGCAGCTGCTACAGTGCTTCTTCCTTATGTTTCTACCCTAGCTTTTTTTTCTCCCTTTCGTTTTTTACTTTTCTCCATATTTCTTCCGTGCTTTTTTCAGATATTTCTTAGAGAGTGTCACCGATATTCATCTCTGCATTGTAATGTTTCCTACCTTAGCTACTCAATAAGACAAATTTCCTATGCTGCCTCTCAATTTTACGTACAAATTATGCTACGTACATTACCTTGTCAATCTAGTTTATATAAAAAAATTAAAGGTTTATTTATATAAACTTAACCAAGCTATAATTAATTTATACATAAATTTATTTATAGTTTCTCAGAAATAAAATTCTGCGAAAAAGTTTCTGTAAATTAACTTAAAATATTGATAGATTAATTTTTAACTCAGAAAAACGTATCTCATTATTATTTTCGAAAAAGTCATCCAAATATATGTCTCGATAAAGGAAGTATATTACGTTGTTTAAGACTATAGTAAAAATAAAGTTATTAAAAATTCGTCGAAACTGATTCTATTATATAATAATGACCCGGATTACTTGGCTCTCGATAGTATTTATGGCTTTTTATTTATTTTAAAATAAATGTAAGAAAAAAAATTACTTTTTAATTATATGTTTTTTAATCATATAATCAGGTTAAAGTGATTTAAAAATAGGAGATTATAATTTACTTTAATTAATACTAATAACTTAAAAAGTATAATTGTTTATTCGATGTCCAGTAAGACATATGTATAACAAGAAATCGCACTCCACATAGTTAGTTGGTGTATATTTTGCACTAATAATACAGTTAAAAGAAATAATTCTAATACAATAGATTGAAAAATATAAAATTTGTTTGAATATAAATATAGAAGTATTTTTGAGAGTTTTTCTATTATAAATTATATCTAAACTGAGTCATATATTTAATGGGAAACATATGCTGAACTACTAGTACATCTTAAGGTCAATTCAATGGTGGCGAAGAGGAATGAGAGAGACGAAGGTTAGTTGGCAGAGGTATAGCTGTTAAGAGAGGAACATGTTGATTGTTGAAGGTGACTTTTCTCTGGGCGAAGGGTGAGGTGGAGGTGGCACTTTGGAATTTTGTGAGTGTATAAAGTGGAAGGAGACGATGAGTTGTGGTGGAAGAATATAAAGAGTATGATATTCGTGGGTTTTTTCTTCAAAAAATCAACCTAATAGAAAGTGATGTGCACGTGGACGCGTGTGGTCTCTCATTCTCCCATCTTAACTATGTCAACCGTAAGGAACACAAACTAAAAAAATAATAACCAATGTCCCTTTGTTTGCTAGAACAAAAGTGTGAATTGGAGAACCGAATCTAAATCACAGCTATTGTAATAAGTAGAAATCAATCATATGTGTCAACTTTAGGCTAAAATAACCAATGCCCTTATATTACTCTATTGCAAAACCAAAAATAAGGGTATATAATTCTTCTACATTTGAGATATGGATGGTGTTTGTATATTGTATCTACCCCTTTGTCTATCACATGGGAAGTAATATTAGAAGAACAACACAGAAACCTGAGAGGTTTGGATAGGAGAGTGAATGGATTGAATTACAAGTAGAATGTGTGGACTGAATTTTGTTGAATATAATTCTCTGCAAAGGCCAATGTGGGTAACAAGAGAGGACACATCCTTGGCCTCATGTTTCACTTTAGACAGAATAAAATCCCAACGCACAAGTCATAAACTAGCATTTCAAATTTTGCTTATTACACAACAGGCATTCGTGTATGCCAAAAGTTACAGAATTTATTCATTTATGATAAAAATACACATGGACAATTTTGTACCACAGAAAATAAAGCACTAGATTCCATCGCAATGAATTCAAATTATTAAATTTCTCGAGTGTCCCTTTTAGCTTTATTTGTTTCTTACAAAGGGATCCATGATTAGTACAAAACAAATCTATTTAACTGCAATTATTTATGGAATATTTCATATTCACTCATTAAAAAGAATTAGTTGTCAAAGTAGTACTTAGGCATAGAAATTCCACGTCATGATGTGGGAATTTTTCTTTTAGCTCTACTATTTTTTAGTGTCATTTTCTCCTTTTGAATTTGGCAACGGACCTGTAAACAAAAAGAAATTATGTTTTTAACTTTTAAGCATGTCATTTCCATCCCAACTTGAAAATGGTTTTAGTTAAAACAAAGATTTTATTAACATTAGTCCTTGATATATTAATTTTAAACAATTAAGAATAGAGAGAATTTATTATTATTTTTTTATTTTTAGCTCTACTCTTTTTACCATCATTTTCTCCTTTTGAAATTGGCAAGGTACCTGCAAAGTGCAAACACAAACAACAAAATTATATTTTAAGAATGCTTTTAGTTGCAACTAAATCTTTTTATTAACATTGGTCCTTAACATATTAATCTTAAACGGTTATAAATAAAAAGTAAAAAAAAAATCTTTTGAATCTACTCATATTTACCGTCATTTTCTCCTTTTGAAATTGACAACGCACCTGCAACCACAAAAAATGAAGTTAAGTTTTAAGCAGGCTAATAATCTAATACCATCCAACTGGTGATATTAGTCTTATTAAAATTGATACTTAGGATATTAATTTTATACAATTAAAAATAAAAAGTAATTTTTTTCCTTTTAACTCTATTCAACTTTACCGTCATTTTCTCCTTTTGAACTTGTTGATATACCTACAAACATAAACACAAAAAACATGTTTTAAGCAAGTCTACATGGATCCAACTTGAGAATACTTTTAGTTAAAAGTAAATATTTTATTAACGCCAGTCCTTAAGATTAACTTTAAATAATTAAGGTAAAAAAGTTAATCTCTAAATTTTCTCAATCTAAGTTCCTCTTGTATACTTATCTTTTTATTCCGTCAAAGTATACGTTAGAATATATAAAGCACATACCGACAGCATTAGCAGGAGGCATAGAAACACCGGTTCTCTTATCCTGAACTTCCGATGAAGGAAATGTCTGAATATTTGAATCTGCAATGTAAAAAATTAAACAAATCTATTATCGGTTCAAATAATTTCTGATTTGTAAAAATTATAATTCATGTGAGTTCCACTAAACAGAGTGTGTCCCAAATTATTTAGAGAGATCCATAAAATTCATTCGATAATAGAAAATAAAATAAAAAGAATGCACCAACTTTTTTTCTTTGCAAACACTGAAAATAATTGGTACATGTAACCTCTTTCTAATTCTACCTGAAGAACTTGCTTGAGGTTTGGTAGATGGTATTTTCATGTCCTTCACTTGTAGTATCTGGTAAAGCTTCTCATTTTCCTCCACAAGTTCATCAATGATTTGTCGCTGTTTCATAACCTAAATCCACAATAATAATACTGAGTTACGGATAATTGAAGTGACTGAATGAACCACTGGAAAAGTTCCACAATAAACTATACTCTAGTTTACTAACGTTGAGAATATATCATCTTTTGGTATACTATCAATTACGATGACATGTTGGCTACAAAATCAACACTAATCAGACAGAATGAAAAGTTACCGTCTGAAGTAGTTTGTTCTCTGGCTGCATGAGTCCAGCCTACAATGCATCATGGAATCAGTTTTTCATATAATATTTGATTAACTTAGGAAAAACTCACAAGAAGAGAAAATGAGGGAATAATATTAAAAATTGATGTTCTATCATTCACATGCACATTGATTAGGAAAACAATGATAAATTTATTGTCTAGAGTCTAGACTGTATGTACTTTACCCACAAGAGCCTTAACAAGTAGTACTAAGTGATTCACCAGCACAAGTGTCTTTAGAAGACTAATCAATTTCACCCTAACTACACCAAGAGAATTTAGTTTAGTTGGTTAAACGATGTACGTGAGTTATTGTAACCTCTTGGTATCGAGTGTTCAATTCCTATGGAACCAAAAAATTTCACCTGGGCTGTTTTTCCTCAACTTTTGCCTTAAGCCTCTTTCTTTCAACAGTGTATAAATAGATACAGAATGCAAATTCTATCATTTCATCCACTTTTATGAAGCATAAAATCATTAAAATGAATGTGAAAACTCTAGGTTACAAGAACATGGGAATTGCTTATTTCTTAATATTAAGAACTAGTTCTTATGTAGTTTCACTATTATAGCAATTGACGTGGCGGTTAATATTGGAGCAGTTGCTTATATAAGAAATGTTTCTTAATAGTTCTTAAGAATTATAAGATAATCATAGGACCCATTTTAAGTTCTTAAAACCCATGCAATATGCTAGGGCGCAGCAAAAGTGAGTTTAGTTAATCAACTCCACACGGTTGTACCATTGGAGATGTTCTAAGGAGTTTTAAAATGTTAACAAAGAATCATTAATAATCAAATTAATGAAGGCATAGCATCTAATAGTCATATATGAAAATGAGTGCATACTGCTTGATCAAGTCCTCCTCCTTCTATCTTCAATGATGGATTTTGCGAAAAGTTGCTAATAGCCTTCTCTGTTTGGCTGTCAGATGCAGAGACAACTGCATCCCCTTTTAACGCTTTATTATCAAAAGCTGAATCAGTCTTTGTGGGTTGAGACCCTACCAAACCTTGAGATATTTGGCTGGATGATTTAGTTGCCAACTGCGTCATGCTTCCTTGAGAAATTTGGTCAACTGATTTGGTTGCCTGTTGCATCATCATGCTTGCTTGAGAAATTTGGTCCATTGCTTTAGTTGCCTCTTGTGTCATGCTTCCTTGAGAAAATTGTTCAGCTGTTTTCGTTGCTTGTTTTATCATGCTTTCAGCAGAAATTTGGTCGGTAGGGACCTTGCTTTGGCCACTCTTTGAGGATTCTGGCATTGGCAATGCACCCCGACCAAAGGGTACACCGGGAATAAGTCCAATCATCTTTGTCATTGGCTCCTAGCAAATTCAAGATTTTATCATGAGATGTATTCAAAGTAGAAAATATAAGAGAATACTTTTGAGATGAGAGAAATTCCACATACTACTATACGAGATTGAAGTTGATTCACCCCTGATCTCACAGATAGGCCTGCCATAGTAAGTCAAAACACAGGCATCAACTGAAGAATGTACACCAAAAACAATGTCTTTTTCAACTGTAAAATAAGCAAATTGAGACTCCGACTCCACCCATGTCAAGTGACAAGAAGAATATATGGCCAATAATATGTAAATGATAACAAAGTTTCATTCAAGCTCAGAACTCGAGTCTATAGCATCAAGAGGCTTTGTTAAGTTGTGGCAACTCCTAGCAACGTCTTCTGATTCCACATTTTTATTCTTTAGGGTACAATGCATATGAATGTAAAAGTTTACAAATTACTCAGTCTAATATGATTTTTTCTCTCATGCATTGCATAGTGAGCCATAACCCATTAGACTTTATAAATAGTAATTTTATTTTAGTCCCACATAAAAGCGGTTTGGAAGTCAACTTGAAGCAATAAACTAATGTATACGTATGATTATGATGTATGATGTAGGACAGCTATAGAATCAACAAACAATGAAAGCCGTTCAAGATTTACTGATCATAAAACATGTTGAGAAGATGTAAAACATACCAAAATATCAGTTCCGAAATGGATCGTTTTGGGAACAAATCAGAACAGATGATCTAAACTTTTTAAAAAGATAATAGAAAAGGGGAGTTAATGACGAGATTATCCGATGTAAAGACATAACAAGCAATGCATATCAATGAATGTAACAAACACCTAATGTCATAAAAGACAGAAAAAGGTGAAACATAATATTATTTGGCAAAGAATTAAGAAATATGAATAGATATGGCATACCAAGTCCAATACCATGACGAAGACCAATTCCATATCCAACGATGCCAGGAATACTCGAAGTTCCCAACATTCTAAACTGTATAAAACATGAGAAACAGATACTTCTCAACAAAAAAGAGAGAAAAAAAGAGGAGCAAATGGCAATGGCAGCATACTTCAAGTGCAAATAGAAAAATGATGAATTTTGTCTTACCGAATTATTGACTTGCTTGCTAACACCAGAAAATGCATCGGTTGCACCCTTGGTGGCACTCATTACTTGATCCAACATCGGTATTGCATCTACACGGAATGAATACATATAAAAATATGCATTGGTCAACAAACAAAATTAACGCTTCTCAATAATACACTATTTTAGTAACATTTCTCTAGTCTAAACAAACATGACCATTTAATGGTTCACATTGGAAAATAAACAAATGACGGTATATATTATGCTTAAGAAAATAAGAGACATGTGAATATGATATGATATATAATGTTAGGAAAATGGAAGAAAGGAATACTGGGTTTTTGAGGAGTTTGAGGAGTTTGTGGAGTTTTGGGCTTGAAGAAGCGTCTCCAGTCCATTTGGTTGTGTTAGTTCGAATTCAAAAGACACAGATAATGGAAGTGGCTAAATTTAAAGGGGTGATTCCAAAACCTCTTAAGTACTTGACCCACCTTCAAAGTAAGTGGATTCTCAGCTCAAAATGCATTTCTTTACTGCTAAGTGTATCACTTTCCATTTCCCCTGTAACTTGTTCCTTTTCTTTCTCAACAAAAGACAAAAGCTAAGCATCACTTCCTTCTTTTTCAAAATTTCCCTCCATTTTGTAAACAAAAAATAACTGATTAAATAATTGAAAATATTCAATAGGATGCTTAGTCGTAACTTAATGATTAAAATAATTTTTTTTAGTATGATAGTTTCAGTTATTTTATCTTTTAGTTTTTAAAATTTAAAATTGAAATTTTTAGTTTTTATATTTATCTTTTTCAATCTCTTTTAATCCTTATAATATAAGATAAATCTTTTAAATTTCTATATGTGTAACTTTTTAATTTTTTTAAAAAAAATTAACATCTCTTTTATGTTAACATGATAGATTTCAGGTGTTGTATGTTGAATTTATTTTACTTCAGTTATTTTAAATTAGATTTCTTGATATTTTACTCCTCTTCTATATTCTAACTCGTGGCATTCATTCTTTAAATACATTTTTTTTCTTACTCTCACAAAAATAAATATTTCTATCACATTAATACAAAATACACAACGTTATAAAAAAAATAATTATTTAAAAAATTAAAAACATACAAATATAGGATCTAAAAAGATATATCTTACACTATAAAAATATAAAAAAATTGAAAAAAATAAATATAAAAACTAAAAAAGATTATTTTAAACTATAAAAATTAAAAAGCAAAGTAATTGAAATTATAGGAACTAAAAAAACATTTTAACCTAACATAATCTTACTCTCAAGATAATAGAGGAGAACGCGCAGCCCAGATGTCTACGCGCGTCTAATTGGAGGTTCGCGCGCCTGGTCGACCAGAGATCTGCGCGGTTGACAAAGAGAGAAGCAGAGGTTTTTTTTTTTTTACAATGGAAGTCTTGCCAGTCGGGGATTTGTAACCTGGAGGAAACCCGTGTTTACGGTAGCAAACATCTATAGTGTGTCCATTTCTCCCACAATGAATACAAATTTTACCAGACCGATTAGAGGCACCACGATTGCTTTTATTGTCATGGTTAGAGGGAAAACCATGTTTACGATAGCATAGATTCTCCGTGTGTCCTGATTTACCACAGTGGGTACATGTGAAAGATGAAGCAGTTGCATTGATTGCAGTAGTTTTTGTAACCGTATTGGCAACAAAATTAGACCCCAAAAGCTGGCGTTCCTGTTGAGCAACATAGGAGAAAATCTTAGAAATTGGAGGAATGGGGTCCATGAGGAGAACATGAGATCTAACATTGCTATATTGTTCATTTAATCCACGTAAGAACTGCATGGCTTGATCTTCTCGCTTCCTTTGAGCAATGGTGGGTAAAACATTGCAAGAACATTTGTGGGTACATGAACATGTAGGATCTGGCCTAAAATTTTCCAATTCGTCCCAAATAATCCTAAGTTTTGTGAAGAACTCAGTGACAGAAAGGTCTCCCTGCTGAAGGGAAGAAGCTTCATACTGCAAATCTGAAATACGAAGGAGGTCACCTTGAGAGTACCTTGATTTAAGATCATTCCAAATCTCATCAGTTTTGTCCATCCAAAGTATACTCTGACGAATAGAAGGAGAAACTGAATGTACAAGCCAAGAGACAACCATATTATTACATCGACGCCATGCAGAATAAGTAACATCAGACTTAGGCGGTTGTGGAGCATTCCCGTCCACGAATTCCATCTTGTTTTTGGCACTAAGAGCAGTAAGCATGGATCTACTCCATGAATGATAATTGCCTGAATCAAGAACAGGTGATACAAGCGCAGTGGCAGGATTCTCGCCAGGATGAAGATAGAGGAAACTGTGAAAAGGGGGTGTTGAATGAGTTTCGTCCTCCATAGTAATAGGAAGGAAAGAAAAAAGATGAATGCGCAGCAGAGCTTTTCAATGGAAGAGCTCTGATACCATAATAAAATCCCGCATGAGGGAGAAAAGGAGAATGAAGGGTGATGTGAAAAAATTGATCAACAACAGCTCAATCTCTTATTGCTGAGAAAACGATGGTATATGTACAAAATGATGCAACAAAAAGGTAGAAAGAGAAAAGGTACAAAAGAGAATCTGAAAATAACGGAATGAAAAATCAAAATGAGAAAGTAGCGTGAACGAAAAAGAAAAACGTGACGTGCATGAGTCATGAGAGACGTATGAGTACAGCTGTTAAGAATAATCATTAATTATATATATGTTAAGCAGAGTTTAGTTTTTTTAACCATGAGTTCATATTTAAGCATTATAATGAAAAAAGTATCTCAAAAAAATAGCAAGCCAAATTTTATTATAGAATTTAAATAAATTTAAATACGTCTTTAATCATTTATAAAATGAACAAGTTTTTATTTGATACATATAAAAAAAAAAATTCTTTATTTTTCATCCCTTTTGAACATACCAAACGCAACATTAATTATTGAAGAAGCTGATAAATATTTTATGCGTATAACAATCCATTTGCAACCAATTGTTGTTTTGTTGGGTGGTAAAGCGGTGATAGTCCAGGTATGATTGGCTTCTAGGACAGTGATCTCATCTTTCATAGCTTTAATCCAACAACATTTATAAAAGAGATGAATAAATTGGGTGATTCAGAGTATTTAAGCTTGTCATTAAAAGTTCATGAACAAAACATGCTAATTTTATATAAAATAAGAAATGTATTTCGAAAATTGCAAATTTATTGTAAAATTAACCTTACATCATTTTAATATTTAAATGTTCCTTCTTTTTTTTTTCTTCTCTTTTTCGTCTTATTTTTTTCTCAACTGCTAATACTATCAAAATGATTCAGTCTTTGTCTAACCTTGAAATAACTTTTCCTCTTATATAATTAAAATTCTCAATACATAACTTAAAAAAAAAAATAACGTTAAACGTGTAAGTTACATTAAATTTATAATGAATAATTTAAATTATGATGTATAGTCGTTTTCATATTAAAATACTATTAATAAAATTAAACGTGCGGATAAAGAGATAAAAAAACAATTTGAAATACACTTAAAAAAATATTATGAATGATTTATTAAGATAATAAAAAGAAAAAAGGAATTGAAATGATTTATACATCATTTTTTATTCTACTTTCAATGGATAAAAAAAAAAGTAAAAGGCTTCTCAGTTCTCTCCGAATTAAAAATTCATATACAAGTATAAATATTTATATTAATGTCATGTTCATGTTAATAAATAAAAGACAAAAATAAAGCTGAATAGTATAAAATGACTATATAAGTGTGATTATTTTAAATCCAATTTATTCTATTCTATTCAAAATCGTTATTTTTTTCTTTTTTTCACCTCAATATTCTAAAATTCTGAAAGGTAAACAAAATCTAACTAAAAATTATTTTTATCAAAGATTAAACTCAAATATTATCCAAATAATTTGACTGAGTTGAATATATTAATCACTTATGTCAAAATTCTTGATTAAAACAATAAAATATTTAAGTCCATAGAATGAAAGTATTTTTTTTAGTTCATTTTATCATAAAATATTTAAATAATAAAATAATAATTTCATTTCTTCCTTTCCGTTCCATCCATTCTAACTCATTAAATTGTAACAGCCCGAAGCACGTATGAATTTATTATTATTACTAACCTACTTTTTTCTTTGTTTTCTCCTGCACTCAAAACAATCTGTACATGACACCCTACTTTTGCTATTTCTAGCTGAAGAACTTGCTTCTAGTTTGCTAGATGGTATTTTCAGGTCCTCCATTAGTATTTCTCGAAGCCTATTGTTTTCCTCCACAAGTTCTTCAATCATTTGTTGGTGTTTCAAAACCTAAATCCATAACAAAAATAAATATAGTTAAAAAAATTTGGGTCAAAAATATAAAATGACAATTTGTTACTGAACAATTGAAAAGTGCAACAGAAAGTGTAAAAATAAATCTCAATTTCATCCCTAAAATATTACTCTCCTAAATAATCCACTAAAATAAGAAAATTATATTAGTAATCCCCCATGTAGTAGAAATTATAACAAGTAGTCATCTAATATTGAAAAATTCATCAAATTGGGCCATGAACATTAGTAAAATATACCAACTCAGACCAAATCCAAGGATATTCAATACTAAGAATTATTTATATCATTTTAATTATTTTAGGGACTATATAAGGAGTTATATTATACTTAAGAGATTAAACTACTGGTTTATATGGAAGTATAAATATGCCCTAGAAACAGAACCAACATGATTTATATGTGAAGAAGGAGAAGTTGAGTTGCTATTGGTTGACTGTTGTATTAAACCCATCAAGATTTGATACTGCTAAGGAGTGAAGCGATAATCCTGATTTGGAATAGCTTGCTGTTGATCACTGGCCTTACATTCATCAGTCACCGTGTTGTTTACAATGGAAGTCTTGCCAGTCGGGGATTTGTAACCTGGAGGAAACCCGTGTTTACGGTAGCAAACATCTATAGTGTGTCCATTTCTCCCACAATGAATACAAATTTTACCAGACCGATTAGAGGCACCACGATTGCTTTTATTGTCATGGTTAGAGGGAAAACCATGTTTACGATAGCATAGATTCTCCGTGTGTCCTGATTTACCACAGTGGGTACATGTGAAAGATGAAGCAGTTGCATTGATTGCAGTAGTTTTTGTAACCGTATTGGCAACAAAATTAGACCCCAAAAGCTGGCGTTCCTGTTGAGCAACATAGGAGAAAATCTTAGAAATTGGAGGAATGGGGTCCATGAGGAGAACATGAGATCTAACATTGCTATATTGTTCATTTAATCCACGTAAGAACTGCATGGCTTGATCTTCTCGCTTCCTTTGAGCAATGGTGGGTAAAACATTGCAAGAACATTTGTGGGTACATGAACATGTAGGATCTGGCCTAAAATTTTCCAATTCGTCCCAAATAATCCTAAGTTTTGTGAAGAACTCAGTGACAGAAAGGTCTCCCTGCTGAAGGGAAGAAGCTTCATACTGCAAATCTGAAATACGAAGGAGGTCACCTTGAGAGTACCTTGATTTAAGATCATTCCAAATCTCATCAGTTTTGTCCATCCAAAGTATACTCTGACGAATAGAAGGAGAAACTGAATGTACAAGCCAAGAGACAACCATATTATTACATCGACGCCATGCAGAATAAGTAACATCAGACTTAGGCGGTTGTGGAGCATTCCCGTCCACGAATTCCATCTTGTTTTTGGCACTAAGAGCAGTAAGCATGGATCTACTCCATGAATGATAATTGCCTGAATCAAGAACAGGTGATACAAGCGCAGTGGCAGGATTCTCGCCAGGATGAAGATAGAGGAAACTGTGAAAAGGGGGTGTTGAATGAGTTTCGTCCTCCATAGTAATAGGAAGGAAAGAAAAAAGATGAATGCGCAGCAGAGCTTTTCAATGGAAGAGCTCTGATACCATAATAAAATCCCGCATGAGGGAGAAAAGGAGAATGAAGGGTGATGTGAAAAAATTGATCAACAACAGCTCAATCTCTTATTGCTGAGAAAACGATGGTATATGTACAAAATGATGCAACAAAAAGGTAGAAAGAGAAAAGGTACAAAAGAGAATCTGAAAATAACGGAATGAAAAATCAAAATGAGAAAGTAGCGTGAACGAAAAAGAAAAACGTGACGTGCATGAGTCATGAGAGACGTATGAGTACAGCTGTTAAGAATAATCATTAATTATATATATGTTAAGCAGAGTTTAGTTTTTTTAACCATGAGTTCATATTTAAGCATTATAATGAAAAAAGTATCTCAAAAAAATAGCAAGCCAAATTTTATTATAGAATTTAAATAAATTTAAATACGTCTTTAATCATTTATAAAATGAACAAGTTTTTATTTGATACATATAAAAAAAAAAATTCTTTATTTTTCATCCCTTTTGAACATACCAAACGCAACATTAATTATTGAAGAAGCTGATAAATATTTTATGCGTATAACAAAATAAAAATCATTAAAAAATGTACAGACAAACCAACCCACCTTAAAACATTTATAAAAGAGATGAATAAATTGGGTGATTCAGAGTATTTAAGCTTGTCATTAAAAGTTCATGAACAAAACATGCTAATTTTATATAAAATAAGAAATGTATTTCGAAAATTGCAAATTTATTGTAAAATTAACCTTACATCATTTTAATATTTAAATGTTCCTTCTTTTTTTTTTCTTCTCTTTTTCGTCTTATTTTTTTCTCAACTGCTAATACTATCAAAATGATTCAGTCTTTGTCTAACCTTGAAATAACTTTTCCTCTTATATAATTAAAATTCTCAATACATAACTTAAAAAAAAAAATAACGTTAAACGTGTAAGTTACATTAAATTTATAATGAATAATTTAAATTATGATGTATAGTCGTTTTCATATTAAAATACTATTAATAAAATTAAACGTGCGGATAAAGAGATAAAAAAACAATTTGAAATACACTTAAAAAAATATTATGAATGATTTATTAAGATAATAAAAAGAAAAAAGGAATTGAAATGATTTATACATCATTTTTTATTCTACTTTCAATGGATAAAAAAAAAAGTAAAAGGCTTCTCAGTTCTCTCCGAATTAAAAATTCATATACAAGTATAAATATTTATATTAATGTCATGTTCATGTTAATAAATAAAAGACAAAAATAAAGCTGAATAGTATAAAATGACTATATAAGTGTGATTATTTTAAATCCAATTTATTCTATTCTATTCAAAATCGTTATTTTTTTCTTTTTTTCACCTCAATATTCTAAAATTCTGAAAGGTAAACAAAATCTAACTAAAAATTATTTTTATCAAAGATTAAACTCAAATATTATCCAAATAATTTGACTGAGTTGAATATATTAATCACTTATGTCAAAATTCTTGATTAAAACAATAAAATATTTAAGTCCATAGAATGAAAGTATTTTTTTTAGTTCATTTTATCATAAAATATTTAAATAATAAAATAATAATTTCATTTCTTCCTTTCCGTTCCATCCATTCTAACTCATTAAATTGTAACAGCCCGAAGCACGTATGAATTTATTATTATTACTAACCTACTTTTTTCTTTGTTTTCTCCTGCACTCAAAACAATCTGTACATGACACCCTACTTTTGCTATTTCTAGCTGAAGAACTTGCTTCTAGTTTGCTAGATGGTATTTTCAGGTCCTCCATTAGTATTTCTCGAAGCCTATTGTTTTCCTCCACAAGTTCTTCAATCATTTGTTGGTGTTTCAAAACCTAAATCCATAACAAAAATAAATATAGTTAAAAAAATTTGGGTCAAAAATATAAAATGACAATTTGTTACTGAACAATTGAAAAGTGCAACAGAAAGTGTAAAAATAAATCTCAATTTCATCCCTAAAATATTACTCTCCTAAATAATCCACTAAAATAAGAAAATTATATTAGTAATCCCCCATGTAGTAGAAATTATAACAAGTAGTCATCTAATATTGAAAAATTCATCAAATTGGGCCATGAACATTAGTAAAATATACCAACTCAGACCAAATCCAAGGATATTCAATACTAAGAATTATTTATATCATTTTAATTATTTTAGGGACTATATAAGGAGTTATATTATACTTAAGAGATTAAACTACTGGTTTATATGGAAGTATAAATATGCCCTAAATATAAGATTGAGAATCTAACAGAACATAAAACTTACCATCTGAAGTAGTATCCTTTCTGATTGCAAACGTCCAACCTACAATGTAGATTAGAATCAGAATTTCATACAATATTTGATTAACTGCTGAAAAACTCACCAAAAGAGAAGATGGGCAATAATGTAGAGAAATAAACATTTTATCATTCACATGCATGTTGACATTCCATAAGCAATAAGACTTCAATCAAGATCGAAGTAATAATCTAATTGCAATGCAAGGAAATTGTGCATTAAAATTAAAATATCATAATTAATCACCAATGAGTATATAAAGAAACAAACAGAATTTAGTAATAACAACACTCTATAGCTTAAACAACAAATGATGCACACAGGAAGAGGTCCTAAAATTTAAAGAGTCTATACTTAAACATCTCAACTCAACCATATCTTTACCGAGAAGACAGTGCAAAAACAAAGTAACCCAATTTTGAAATTTAAAACACAACAAGAAGAAGGATGAATCATCAATACAGGAGGTTTATATGTGGTTTTCAAGATACCCAGACATATACTATAATAACACTATGTTTGGATTTAGTATAAAACATGTATTCTAGTGAATGATGTAACATTGTAGTGTGATATGCCAAAAAACAGCTTCACAGGAAGAGCAGGGTTTTTCTTTGATACCCATTAATAGAAAAAGCCTGTAACAACACTTATAGTTATATTCCTCCACCCTAATTACCACTTGTGTGAAAGTATATCATATTAATATGTAAGTTGAAAACATAGTTTAGAAGTTATTTTAAAAAATTTACCAAATAATTATTTAAAAATCAAATCATGGACTGTAATGAATAGAAGAAAAGGCATAGAATCTAATTGTCATTTATGAAAATTAGTGCATACTGCTTCATCAAGTCCTCCTCCTTCTCCCTTCAATATTGGATCTTGCAGAAAGTTGCTAATAACCTTCTCAGTTCGGCTGCCAAATGTAGAGTCAACTGCAGTGCCTCTTAACGGAGTATTTTCAAAATCTGAACCAATTTGCACAGGTAGAGACCCTGCCAGACCTTGAGATACTTGATCAGCTGATTTAGTTGCCAACTGTATCGTGCTTTGAGCAGAACCTTGGTTTGTATTGACTGCACTTATAGTACTTTGCAAGGGTGACGGAAATGCACCCTGAGTAAAGGGTAAACTGGGACTGAGTCCAAACTTTGTCATCATCTTTGTCATTGCATCCTAGACAGAAAAATCAAGATTTTAGGCATGAGACACATAAAAGGGAAAAATAGAAGACAATACTTTTGTGATAGGAGAAAACTTCACATACCACAAGACAAGATTGAATTTGATTCAAAACCGCTGGTTTCACAGCCAGGCCTGACATAAAAACATAAAATTTTAGCTATCAATCAAAGCAAGTGCAAAATACATGGAGAACTTTTGTTGACTGAAACAATCAAACAGTATCCACCCACATCAAGTGACAGAGAACATGGACAAGGATACATAAATGACAACTAAGTTTCAAGCAAGACCAGCATTCGAGTCTACAGAATCTTGAGATTTAGGAATACTGTGGCAATTTCTAACACAAAAGCTGTCTCCTAGGGCCATTTTTTTTTTATAGATTTACTGAACTTATAAAATGTCATTTTGGGAAAAACACAAAAAAATGTTCTAAATTTTTTGGAATGCATAAAAGTGAAACACATTGTCAATAGTGGCATAATTGATAGACTGATAGTTCAAAATGTCCTACTTACAGTAAAAGCCTGTTTGAAAATAAGCTTAGAAAAAAAAATTTACCAAAAATAAAAAGTATTTTTAAGTAAAAGAACTCTGAAAAACACTTCTAACTTTTATGCAAACAAGCTCTAAGACAAAGACCAAAACAAACGAAATTATGACTGAAACAAGAAAAAATGGAACAAAGACATGATTATCCAATGTAAAGTCTAAACAAGGGGATTCATATTTCATATCACCCAACTTACAATCCACCTGGCGGAAACCTACATATAGCTAAAATGTGATAACATAAAAGTCACAAAAAGGTGAAATGGTTGGCAAAGATTTGATAAATAGCGAACAGATATGGCATACCAACTCCAAAACCATGACCAAAACCAACACCACATCCAATACCCACTTCAATATTCTTAGCTCCCAATTTCCTCAACTGTTTGAAACACAACAAACAAACATTTCATCAAATGCCATAAAACAAAAAAGTAATAGACCGTAGTAACAACATGTTATAGTAGAAAAAATGAACATTGTCTTACAGAAGTATTGACATGCCTGCTAACACCAGAAAATGCATCGGTGGCACCCCTGGTGGCACTCATTACTTGATTCAACATAGGTATTGCACCTGCATAGAATAGTGAATAATTAAAAAAAATTTATTCAAATAATTTCAGAAATATTTCATATCACCTTCATGAAATCAAATCAATGAATACCCAAATTTAAAGGGCGCCCAACGCCGATTCCGACTCCACATCCGATACCAAAACCTGTGAAAACCTGACCCACCTTCAACGTAAACGGATTCTCAATTCGAATCGCGTTTTTCTCGCTACTAATAACTCTCCCACTTTCCATGTCTTTATCGCAAACCAAAACCCTCGTTCTTCTTTATCAAATTTCCCTCCGCTGCAGTGGGCGCATTGTAGCATAGCTGTGCTTGTGTGCGAAAAGTAACAGCCTCGTTATTTTGCGCCTGCCTACGTGGCGACTGTGGAAGGTTCCACGCAGGCGCGGAGTGACGTGGAATTAGGAAATGACAAAAGTACCCCAACATGAGTGGGACTCAGAATATGGCGGTTGTAGGCTTGTAGCTACTGTCATCCGATCGTCAAACTTGCCATCGACCAATTGATAAGTGATACGAGAAATTCTCTCGATTAAGAGTAACATGTGGATTGGGCCCAAGTCAATCATAAAACCCTGGCGGCGATATATACACCTTCTTTTTTTATATATAAGTACACCTCTTTTATTTTTTTTTTAAATTATAAAATATTATAGTTTAATTTTTTTTAATTTTCTAATTTTACACCTTCAACCTTCAATTTATTTTTTTTTTCTTCTTTTTCATAAATTTCTTTTTTCTCTTTTAATTTTTACATGCTACCAAAATAGGTGGGGTGGAGAAAAGATAAAAATGTACATGTAAAAATTAGAAAAAAGAGGAAAGATATGTAAAAAAAAATACTAAATTAAATGTTTTAGATGTGAAATTAAAATATTCAAAATTAAAAGTTAAGAATATTTTATAAATTTAATTATTTTTTTTAAAAAAAGAAGGTGTACTTATAAATAAAAAAAAAGTGTATATATCATGAACCAACCCTAGCCCATTCATCAGTATACCACTATACCCCATTCATCAGTATATATCATGAACCAACCCAAATTTCTTATGGGTTGTACTTTCTTAGACCTAGTTTGACTCATTAACCAATCGAATTAGACTAAATTGATTTAGTTTATTTTAAATATTAATATATATTTTTAAATTTTATAAGAAAAAATACCAGCGCAAAAAGTTTGGGCATACATTTTATGGGTTTAAACTTTTAGGTAAGGTCAATTTAATCTAGTTTTTTTAGCCATAAAATTTGAGAACTTAGTTGAGTCCAATAATCGATTTATTTTTCACAACTTTAGGTTAAATTTTTGGATGAATCTATACCTCTTTAGTATTTGAATATCTCTTAATTATTGATATCTATTGATAAAACTAAACTTCCTTAATAAATATTTTTTCATTGACATAAATATGAGAATTGAATCTTTAACTACACACATATAAAATATAATTACTTATTAATTATTTAGAATCTATTTAAATACAAGTTAGAAATATTTTTAAAAGTTTTTTTTATTAAAAATTAAGAGTATTCTTTGATAGAAAATTTTCAAAAATACTTATAAATTTGCACCCAAACAAACTCTTAAAATATATTTGTCATCTTATCTTATCACTTTCGGTTTATTGGGTTAAAGACTAATCTTACTTATAATATTATGACTGATCCATCATAATAAAAATTAAACACAAATTTTTCATTAAAAAATCATTTATGCAATATATGAATGTATAATATCTAATTACTAACTTAAGAAAATCCATAAAATTTATTTTTACACTTGAAATGTTGAAACCTAATCCAACCAATCTAACAATCTATAAAATATTAATTTTATTTTCATATCTTATGTTGAATAATAAAAAATGAAATTGAGAAATAAACATTATTTCTCTCACTTCTTAAACTTAAATTGTTATTTATCAATTTTATTAGTATTGGTGCATAAATTTTGATATAAAATAATATCTTCATCACTTTTGTGACAATTTAATAATAAGTAAAAAAGATAAAATTGACACATCATGATTTTATTTTATAAAATCAATAAAACTAACTAAAACAACTACTTATATTAGAATGTATAATTTATTAAATGTGTCTTGTGAAGGATAATGAACATTCAATTAAGATTAAAATAAATAAATAATATAAAATTTTTAAAAGTGACATAATTTTTTAAAATATTCATGTGATATTAAATTTTGATTTTTTTAGATAAAAATAACTCAATCAATGTCACTTATAATAATATATGATGTTAATATTTTAGTGATGTAATATAATATCACCCAAAACACTACATAATATTAAAATTACATTATCTCTAATACATTGTGGCATTGATCTCTTCTGCCTCAAAGTTATATTAGAATCTTGAAGAGGGCTGACATTATATTCTCTGACATATGATTTCTAAAACACATTATATCATTAACTAAAATTTACTAAAAATTATGAAACCAATGTGGAACCACCAAAATATATGATTTTCAATAAAGTTGTACCAATATAAAACATATTGTACAACTAGGAAGAAAGAGAGGGTGAAACTAGAAGCACAGTACAGCGCATTAAACACATTGTGCATCTAGGAAGAAAGAGAGGGTGAAACCAGAACCACAGCACATGAATTCTGGTTGAGGTACGGGAGTGGAACTGCCATGGCAAATCCATTACTCACTGATCCAATCCAGCAAGAAACATGGACCGGTTTGTTTCCCACATTAAATGCTACCTCATACACTCCAAACTCTTTCCACGTGCTTCCACTTACCTTAAAGCTTAAACCCGTGCTTCACCCTCAAACCATCATGTCCATTCATTCTCAAACTTTCTACCTTCATCACCTCCGAAGACTCTTTCACCACCAAACAAAATTCCCAACCCAAATTTGTCCCTTGCTTTTGCTTTGCTTCCTCGACACAAACCATGGCCAATTCCCTCCACAATTCCTTGTCCAAGTTTACTTCACTGATTTTGAACACCATGCTTTCAACCCCGTTTTGCCTTTGCGTACGAGGAATTATATCCGATGGGAGAGACTTGGGGTTTTTCAAACGAGCGTGGTAAAATATGGGTGTCTCAATTTTTTCACGTTGGTGTGACATTTTAGTGTGAATTTCTGCCCATTTCGCAAGGAAATTCTCAAATAAAAAAGCATCTGCCAATAGGAGGCTGCAACTAATGCCAATTGAGTATCCTCCACATTCAAAGTTTGTCACCTAAAAAATTCCAATCCATCCAAATTAACCAAAAGGGTCGAATACCACGTAACAAATAATCAATACAAGAAAATGTTTCATGCAATAAATTTTTATAGTCTCATTATCAAATATATATAGAGTATGTTTGTATTATCTTGAGTTCCATTCAACGTAAATTTTATATGAAAGTTTATTCACGTTGAATATGCACTGAAATGTGAAAATTAAGTAAATTAAATAAAACATATTATCTTAAAAAGATATGTTTATTGTGATTTTTAATTGGTTGAATGAATGGTTAAAAATTAATTTCAAAGTAATAAATAAAAGGAGAAAACTTAGATATAATATTTATAGTATTGTTGAAGTGAAATAAAGGAAATAAAAAAGTAAGTAGCATCTGCCTGGACATAAGAAAGAGGAGAGAACTGAGGATACTGGGCATCAATTTCGTTCCAGAACACAAGGTCAGCTTCAAGATCATGTTCTTTTTTATTCAACTCAAGAAAGTGTGACAAAGTGGTAGGGTAGCATGCCTCCAAGAGTCTAACACCAGAATCATTGGACACAATTTCGAAGGATGAGTGATCCCTTGTGTGTAGGCGACCAGCAAGTAAAGGGTGATCCAACAGGACCATGGCTAGTGACTCCACAATCCAACCAGCCAAACACCGACCATGTTCTTCCTCTCTCATCATCTCATAGTACATAACTATTTGATAACATCCTTGAATGGCACTTACATGGTCCTCACTCACTAAAACTTTGCGAACTTGACGTGGTTCTGTCACCTTTAGCGGTGGCACACTCATCATAGCCACAATCTGCGACGACCTTGAGGTGCCACCATTCTCATTCGCCTCCATTTTTATTTTTTTTCCGCAACTTCTTGTTATGTAATTCAGAGTGATCGAGCACATAATGTTTGCAACGTACGTGATGTATTTATAAGGGCAAGCGGAAAATAAAAATGTGCGGCTGCAAATGCAAATGTAAACCCTCAGCCATGATCATTGATTGGTGGGAAATGCTGAACTACGCGATGCACCGAAACAAACCAACGTCATTCATTTCTTAATTAATTCTCTATAGTTAGCAGCCATTTATGAAATACAGTACCGTACAAATAGCTAGCACGCTCGCAAATATTAAAATGATCTGAACGCTACCCCCCGCATTAATGACTTTATGGTATCTACTCAAATTTAGTGTTGACGTTGTTTCGAATAATAAGATCCTACTCCTTGTGCGAAACAAAAAAATATTATTAATAAAATGATCACTTGTACGTAATTTTTCTTAGCAAGTGATGATATTTTATTTATATGAAGTATGAATAAATAAATAATGAATTGGAGGGTACCACTTCATTTCGCCATGTATGTTATTAAAAATATGAAGTGTATGCTTCATATTAATAAGTCTTAGTCATAATTTTATAAGTTTACATATTTTAACAAGTAATAAAGAATAGCAAAAATATGTGTTAAAGAGTGTGCTATTAAACTATCTCTCTTTTATACTCTTTTTAGACTAATAGTTTGTTTATATAAGTTTATCTAAAAACACTTCTAGAAGGGAAATCGGAACGAAAATCTAAATAAGTATTTTCATATAAGTTAAAACTAATTGTGCTTAAATTAGAAATAAAATTTTTTAGATGTTAATAAGAAAGAATTTTTACGCTTATACATAGAATCTGATTGGGTATAAGTGATGAGAGTTTCTTTATTATAAATATTAGTGCGATCGGTGCATTCCATAACTTTATTAGAGATAAAATAAAAATTAATTAATAAATGTATGTCGATCTATTGTTATGATTAGCCCATTAATTTTAAGATCTTGATTTTGATAAAAATAAAATGCTATTTTTTTATAATTTTTAAAATAAAAGGATATAATAGTCAATAAAATGCGGAGACCAATATAATTTCTAAAAAGAATATTTTCTTTATATATTAGTGTGAATAAATAAAAATTCATAAGAAAAATTCTAGAAAATGCTTATAAGTTTATATCTAAACAAACTATAAGTTAATGCAGCTTATAAAGAGGTTTATTTTATTTTTTTCATCTTATTTTTCTTTCTTAAAAATATACTTAGAGAAATTCACCTAAGCAAACCCTCAATCATATGTTAAAACAATTTTATGGATAAGACTTAAGAGTTTAAAATAAAAGCAAAGTTTAATTAATTTTGCCTTATTCAATTAAAGAATAAATTTGAACAACAATAAAACATATTATTTTTCAGCTAAATTATTTTGAATATAATTAAAAATAAAATATTTTTTAAGAATAATATTGCAGAATAATTATATAAATTTAGCTATTTAATTTCAAATGTTAATAATTTAAAATGGAAAGAAAAAAAATGTGTTCAACGGAAACACACCAGATCATATAAAAAAATGAGTTGATTTAGTTTATTTGATACTGCATTAAAATCTAACAGAACCACATATTAATTTTATATTTTATTCAGATTTAAAAAAACAAACAAAACTGTAACACAAACACCCGATTGAAAGGAACTGATCCAACATGGCCAGGGGACAAATGGGCCTACTCCTACATGCAGATTTAGAATATCTGCAGGAAATCAAAAAATTTCGTAAAGCCGGCGAAAAAACAAAAAGTTAACTATTTGTTTTTAATGAAGAGGAATGAATCTAGTAAATTTACTTACGTTTAATAATTTATATTTTATATCAAATTTTAATAATTTTTTTTAATATAAATATATATATTATTTTTTACGATTCTCATTTTAAAATAATTATTTTATCAATAGACTAACTCATATAGTGAAATAGTGTATAATTGTAGTCTTTTAGTACTACGTTCCATTCCTGAAGTTATTTTTTTTTTATTTCTCAATACTATTCATTTTTTATTGTATTTGAAAGCAAAATATTAATATTGTAATTTTCAATATAACTTTGTTAATAATGTTAAAAAAAATAAATCAAACTTAATAAAATTTTCTTTATAAATATAATTTTATATTTATGTTATTTCTGAAAAATAAAATATAAGAAATACAAATTTTTCATTAAAAAAAATGAGGGAATGGATGAACGATGAAGTGACACTCTGAAACTTGTTTTTCCTCCTAGTCAGTACGAGTTTGTTAATTAGTCCAATAATTTTTCCATTTGTAAATAATTATCTGTCTATAAGATAATACTATTGTTAATATCATTATGGATAGTATCATTTAAAAAAGGAAAGAAAAAAAGTCTAATGGAATCCGATATTTGATTTCATGCAGATTTGGAGAAGACGGTAATAAATGCGATAATAAATTATACTGAATTATTCCAACTCCCTCCCCTTCTATGCCGACCATCCCACCCAACATCATGTCTATCCATTTAATAATGTCCTTTTCCTTTAACTGCGAAAAAAATTTTATGTATACATTGATGCCGTGCATGTTTAAATGTGTACTTGAAGGCAACAACATAATCATTAATATATGAATATTTCAAATTTAAATAATCTACCTGTCTAAAGGTACACTTCTAATTTTCTGTAATTAGAGAACCGAATAAGAACTTTGGGCGGATGTTTCAGAAGGAAAAGTACCTGCAAAAGACATTCCGACATTCAAGTCAGAACAAACACGATTATCTAAAGTAATAAATTAACAGTGACGTATCTCGTTTTACGTGACCTATTTATACTACTTGTGATGGGCCCTGAACGTAGTGGCCCTCTTCTGATGCTTACCAAATTAGGTAATGCATTGCTAATCGGCTAATTATGTCTTAATCACGGGCTTGTCCTTGTTAGTCATGATTATCGTCTTAATCACTTAGGCTTATCGGCTGTTAGCCAAGTCGAGAAGCGTAAGACCGGATTTACCTTAGGGTCTCGGCCTTATACTGAGTCGAGTCGTTGTTGGGAAGGTGAGCAAGGTGCGCTCTTGATCAAGCTTATAGGCCATTTACCGAGCCGATGAGCGCAAGACCAGATTTGCCTTTGATGAGGTGTCCCAGGGAATAGGGAGATCCTTTAGGTCTCGGCCATTTGCCAGGCCGAAGTGTTGTTAAGAGGATCAACGAGATGCGCTCGAGTCGCGACATTCCACGTGGTCGATGGGACTTTTCCGGTATACAAGTGTCTCGACCATCTCGGTAGCCGATAGCGTGTCACGTGACATTCCACGTGGTTGACAGGACCCTTTCGGTACAAGTAGTAAGTGAAATTTTCTAATAAATGTTAGATATAGGTAAAAATTTAATAAATATTTTATAATAATAATATAATTAAAAAAATCTTAACGATGATTAGAGTAATATGCATCATTTTTTTATATTATTAAATCATAATAATATATAAATGATGGATGTTATTGCATATTAGTGGTAGTATTTTTTAAAATATTTTTTAAAGAAAAGATAATGGATGATCACAAGGAACATAACATGTATGGGTGTAAGTAGATTGAACTTAAATAAATTTGTTATTCAATTTGTTCAAAATTTAACAGGTCAATTGAGTTAAATTTATGCATTTTTATTAAATCTAATCCAATCCAATTCAATTGAATTAAATTAATTAAGTTAATATAATTAATTTAAAAAAAACATTTTATAATAGGTGCAAATAATTTGATATCATTTTATAAATACGATATTATCATCAATAAAATAAATTATGATGCAACCTAAATTTTAAAAAAATAATTATTAATTTGTCACATTATTATCAACTCAAACAATTAAAATTAATATAAAATAAAACTTTAAATAAATATATTACATTATTACAAGTCATCAAGTCAAAAACATAAAATATATTATTAAATAACAGTAATAATCAATATTATCTTAAACAAATAAATATTTAAATACTATGCTATTTTATTTTATTTTATTTATTTATTTATTATTATTATATATGATTCAGTCAAATCACAAATAAAATATGATCGAGACAAATTACGAATAAAAGCACAAAATTCATTAATTTTCTACAACATCAAGTTTTGATTAATCTAATCCGGCCATTGAAATAATCTTATATAAATTTATTAATTAATTCAATTCGGTACATTAGTCAACCATTTAGACTTTTAATCAACTTTAAAAGTTCAACTCTTACAACTGTCGCTATTTAATTTATAATAGATGAACTATTTGACCATACCTATTTATTACAAGTCGGACAGAGATCATAAGAAGACATTATTATATGTATACTTGTAAATCACTTACGGTATTAGTAGTAATATAACAGATTTTATCCTTTTAATAAAATATCGCATTTTGTGAATAAAAATGTAGTTAAAAAATAAGATTTTATTAAAAATGATTACTCAAAAAAAAAAAGAAATTGGCCATTAACATGTCATAACCACTTACGGTATTAGTAGTAACAGATTTTGCCTTTTAAATAAAGTTTGATATCATAGGAATAAAAAATTGTAGCTATAAAAATTAAATTTTATTAAAAATATTTAGTCAATTTTCAATAGAAATTAATTATTAATAAATCAAATAAATATTTCACATTGATAAAATAACAAGTATTTCAGTCAATATAAAATATAGGTATAATTATTATATATAATTAAAAATTGTAATAAATTATATATAAATAAATTTTATATTTAAATATATATAGATTATATTTAAAATTTATAAAATAAATATTTTAAATATATACGTTATATTTTAAATTAATGATAAATGTTTTATATTACAACATAAAAAATTTATTTATTGAAATTTATTTTAAAGTATTAATATTTAATTCATAAACAAGTATAATAAATAAAATTGAATTAGATAAAGATTTATAAATTTTCTTATAGAAAAAAAACTCTCATGCTTAATGTATAGGAGTTAGTGAATATTCTTTTTTGATTTTTTTTTATCATAATATTGACATACATATTTATTAATTTTTTCAAAAATTAATCTTTTCAAGAAC